ACAAGGTGCGCCCAATTGGGGGCCGATTGCGGCGAGGAATTGCGCAGTAAAAGGGATGACAACTGGAGGGGAATCGTATCGTAGTCGAGGTATAGTGGGAGTTCGGGTATCTGCGTTCTAGAGAGGAAAGATTGAAAGATGCTGCGTTGTTCACTCCAAGCTGCGAGGAGAAATAAGTAGTGTAAAATGGGAAAGAGAGTGAAGAAGAGGGAAAAGGGCCAGCTCGAAGTTCCCGTCCATGTGTCTAAGGTACCCTTTGGCTAAATTACCTTAGACAAGGTACCCGAGACCATGGGAGGCACCCACGATTCCCTCTCCACTGCTGGCTCCGGCGCCATTCAGGACCATTCTCGGCATGCCACGCCCGCTAACGTCCATCGTCAGCACCTGTGCGTGCTGCTTTTGGGTGCGCCTGGACTCGACTTCAACCGCTTCCCACCCCTGCATTCCACGATTCCTAAAAAATCCCACATTCGAGTCTGGGGTGGCTGCACGAATCAGGCACTCTGTGATTGGCCAATACCAGGAATGACGATGCAGTTGGTTCATCTAGCCTTCACCATTATCTCCACGTGACTCTGCCGGATAAGCTTCTTACCGCGAATGGACGCCATTCCCAGTTCGTCACAGACCAACCAGGTGCATGCTTCACTCTACCTACATCCGTAACATCACAGCGATTCAACCTTGAAATATCTTCAGTCACGTCCGACTGTACATTGAATAAACTCAACAACCGACGCCTGCCACCCTCTCAAGACCTCCAACCCGCGACGGACCGTTTCTGTAGCCGCCATCATGTCGGGCCAAATTGCAGCTTTGGAGGAGGACCGCCAACAGTATCAAGAGCAGGTACGCAATTTCTCGACCTTCAGACCTCATATCTGTTCTTCGCTAACTTGACTTTCACAGCTCGATGTTGTTCTCGCCGGCCTCAAAGATGATCCCGAAAATGCCGAACTCAAGAATCTTCAGGCGGAGTTGAATGACATGATTTCCCTCCTAAACGAGTCTCTTGCTGAGCTGCAGCCGAAGCAGGCGCCCAAGCCCATCCCTCAAAAAGCGCCCAGCCCGCCAGAGCCCGAGAAGTGGTCCAAGGAAAACCACCCAGCTTTCAAGAAGGCTGCACCCGCCCCCGAAGAGAAGGAGGAACCACCCGTTACGTACTCGGTGAATGACACTGTCATGGCGAAATGGGCATCGGGCGACAGAGGCTTCTATCCTGCCCGAATCACATCCATCACCGGCTCTTCAACAGATCCCGTCTATATTGTCAAGTTCAAGAGCTATGACAACACGGAAACGCTGCGAGCCAAGGACATCCGCCCCATGTCCAACAAACGCAAGGCTGACGGAGCACCAGCTCCCGCATCTAGCACCGCACAACAGACCGCACGTCCGCCGGGCCCCTCGAATGGTGTCGTTACATCCGCAGCAGCTAGCTTGTACCCTGAGCAACAAGCCAAGATTGAAGCAGAAAAGAATGCTGCCGATGGCGCCGCAAAGCCCCCTAAAGCCAAGAAGATCAAAGCTACGAAAGAATTGGAAAAGGGCAAATCCAAGTGGCAAGAGTTCAACTCAAAGTCCAAGTTTGGAAAGCACAAGAAGGACAGCATGTTCCGCACACCTGACGGCGTTGGCGGCCGAGGTACGTTGTTCGCGCTGAACCAATACTGAGGATGATGCTAACACAGACACAGTTGGTTTCACAGGCTCTGGCCAAGCTATGCGGAAAGACACTGCTCGCAGTCGACACGTTTATCAACAAAACGATGAGCTCGACTAACTGCTGCTAGGGCATAGGGATGCGGGAGGATCTTGAGGGAAGAAGGTTCAAGGCATTGGCGTTCATGGGTGATTTGGCACTCTCAATTTCTTCATGGTAAAGTGTCTTGTTTCCGCGTTACATAGGCTAACGGTTTGTACACATGTGTTTTACTCACTCCAGGCGACCATGGGATTATGATCTCATCTGGACTCTGCGCATCAAGCGCGGGGGGGGTCCCTTGTTACAAATACATGAGATGCCCAACTTCCCCAGCTTCTTGGCCACCTTGACTAAACATCTGGCTATACAGGATATCCTACACTCTCATTTCGTCCTCAGAATACGTCGCTGACTGGCCGTCACATGTCAGTGGCGAGCTACGGTGAGCGGAGGTCAATCTTCGGGGCAATATCCTTGGCAATCTTGAGAAAGATTTCCGCCCTGGCACTCGACGGCTCCGATACGACGGTGGGCTTGCCCAGATCCGCATCATCGCCGATGGATGGGTGCAGGGGGATGTCGCCTAAAAAGTCGATCTTGTGCTCTCTGCACATGCGCTCGACTCTCTCGTTAGACCCAAAAACGTGTGTGTCGCCGTTGCAGTGTGGACAGTTGAAGAGTGACATGTTTTGCACCAAGCCCAAAATGTTGGTATTGACCTTGTTGAACATGTTGACGCCCTTGACCGCGTCTTTGACTGCGAGTGTATGGGGTGTGGTGACAATAATGGACCCTGGCTATTGTAAGCGATGGCCGGCATTCATGTGCCTAGTGTTGCGACGTTCAAACATGACTTACCATCAAGTATGATCTGCTGTGTGATGGTGAGCTGCGTATCGCCCGTGCCTGGAGGCAGGTCGAGCACGAGAACATCCAATCCACCCCAGTCGACTTCGTGAAGTAGCTGCTGAATGGCCTTCATCACCATGGGGCCTCGCCATACCACGGCGTCATCCTCTGGTACGAGATAGCCCATGGACATGGTTTTGACGCCGTAATTAGTCATTGGGATTAACTGGTTGTCTAGTGACATTGTCAGTTGACGAGCTGGGATGGTCGAAGAGGTCCGAGTCCTTACTTTCTGAGAGCCTGGGCTCTCCGGAGAGGTTGAAGAGTGTCGGAATAGACGGGCCAAAGATATCGGTGTCCAGGATACCAGCCCTGTAGCCTAGTCGTGCAAAAGCCAATGACAGGTTTGCTATGAATATTGATTATTACTCTGCCTTTTTGCATACAAGCTTCGGTCCGAGCTGCGTAACCTACCTGCGACTGTGCTCTTGCCAACGCCACCCTTGGCGGAAGAAATAGCAATGATTTTCTCCACGCCAGTAATCTTCCTCTTCACTGGCTTCCTGGGCCAGCTGGGCGGTGTGCCGGATTTCGGCAGACCCTGTAGGCCATGTTAGTCGGTCTCAGGTATGAAGTGACGCATGTGCGTGAGAGTGAGCAAGAGTAACAGCACAAGAGAAGCGTGAGTTGTACCAAGGGGTTTTCATGGCCCAGGACTCGAAGAGTCGACTGAAACGGACGGAATAATGTTGGCCTCATTGTGTGGCCTTTGACAGGCGAAATACAATCACCTTGAACGTCAAAGAGCGATGCAATGCACAATGTAATCGAAGAGACCCGGGAGACGGACAATGCCTCTGGGGTGGTGATGAGAGGATGTAATTGATTGGCCCTACGTAGACTGGATCTGTTTGCGGAGTATCTTCGGCTGAGCTTCAGCTTCAATCACTTATAATGGCACTGCCTGAGACGGTAGCACATCACTGGAATAATGCGATCTATCACTTTCAAAGTGACTTGAATCCACAATGCATCTTTGGTCCATCGAGAAAGATCAAACAACAGTGCATAACCCATTTGTTGGGAGTCTCAGTCCTCAGGACGTCGAGAATATCACGTGATCTGGTGTATATGACCCCACCGAACCTTCTCCATGGCTCGTGTACGTACCTTTTTTCATCGCGGTCGAATTCGCGATGAGAGGAAACTGAGCTGCAGACGCGACATCTTACTCACTGAATGCTCTCGTTCAAAAAGCCGAGCCCCACCACCCGCTAAGCATGAGATCTCTCACATGAAGAACTCATAGTGACATCCTCCCCCAGTTCTCGCCTTCAAGTTCCATATTTCTGATACCCCTTTGATATTCCACGCTTTTTGTTTTCATCATTGGCACTTACTCTCGTTTTCTTTGCGCCTGCCTTACCTCGTGAAGCTAGCAGCCGCTGCAAGGAAGTCTCGAGACTCACCTACATCTGAGATATCCGAAGCACCGAAACCGTTTCCAAGGAGAAGGGGAGAAGGAAACATATTACACATACAAACGACGCGATGTCTACCCCATCGGCAATGTTCGACATGGCGCAAGGTCGTCGCGACCTGGCCGCCCTACCCTCCGACTGGCAACAAAACATCAGAGAAGCTGTAAGTCCTTGCATTATCTAGCACTACTGCATCATGCTCTCGTATATAATCCGAGAGTCCACTGAGTCGAATCATGTATCCGTGTGCCTCCGTTTTCTCCCTCCCTCCTCATCCCACGCGTGAACATCGCTGACACTCCTCACCAGTGGGAAGTCGTCGATCAACAAGGCCTCGGCTCCCTCAACGCGCGCGAGTGGCCCTTTGCCCTCCGCGCCATCGGCTTCGACTTGGCCCGCACAGAGACCTACGCCCTCCTCCTCGCCCACGGCGTCCCGCCGCACGACCACGACCCCTCGCGGGGCCCCTGCAGCCCGTCCCGCTTGCGCATGCCGCAGGAGCACTTCTCCGCCATCGCGGCGTGGCTGCTGATGCGTCGCGACCCGCAGGAGGAGGCCGAGGACGCGTGGAAGATGTTTGACCCCCGCGGCACGGGGCGGGTTACGCTCGAGAGTTTGCGGGCCGTGTGCGGCGAGGTGAATTCGACGCTGAGCGAGGCGGATATGAGGAGGATGATTGACATGGCGGATATTTCGGGGAAGGGGTGGGTTAGTAAGGAGGAATTTATTGAGGTTGCCAAGGGCGGGTTTGGACGTGGTTAAGTTTGTTGGCATGTCGATGAGAGAAAGGGAAGGTTGGGATGGGATGGATGTGTTCAAAGGCCTCGACGAGAGATGCGGCGAACCAAATCGCCCACCTTATTCAGGCACTGGATTTACCCAGGTTTCCTCTTCACATTAAAGCAATAATGTTACTGTCAGTTTACAAGGTTCATCAGCAGCAGTGATTACGTTCTAGGCTGTTACATGAAAACAGTCCTAGCAAATAACAAAAACATGCCAATATGTACCGCGAGATGAACAGCCGGCCCTCCGAGAGTCTTTTGCGTAGCAGCTTTCACCTCTCCTCCCTTCTCCTTCCCCAGGTCATCCACCTCGGGCCTCGTCAACCGCACATAGGCGCGCCAACACGGCCAGACATGCCAAAACGCCAGCGCCGCCGCGACCTGCCTGCTCGTCTCGTCAAACGGCCGCAACACAAAGATGAGGCAGATGAGGTTCGTCGTCAGCAGCAGCCCACCGAATTGCTGCAGCACCAGCTGTGCAGCGATCGATGGGTTAGTCAGCTGACTGCCTGGCCTGTGGATGAAGGAGCACGCGGCGGCGGTTTCGATGGCGATGTGGAAGAAGAAGGGGAGTTTGGCGGGTTGGATCATTGGCGGCAGCATCGTACGGAGGGTTGAATCGGTGATGCGTCTATGTCAGCCCCAGCTCGGGAGCTGAACGTGGTGAGTGGGTGTGTGTGAGTGGAACTATTGCATGCAGTGAGCTTTTGAGTCTGCATTACTACCTTGATTGATCATTGGAGTTCGTTCATAGTGGCACCTACCTACAGGCTTCAGCCACTGGTGCTCTGTCTTCGTTGCTACCTGGATACACGGTATTTCCTAATCGAAGAGTGAGACGGTCGGTCCGGAGTTCAGAATCCGGAGCTGGCCGGATCCGCAAAGGTTCACCGGCACGTTGAGACTTGAAAAGTTCGGTCGGGCGTGGAGCAACTTCAAAGTCCGAGCGGAGGAATTGATACTTTTGTTTTGGAAACCTCCCTCCGGCTTCAACGTAAGTTACAGTGGCTTTGCTCGTGAACGATGGTTGCAACAGGCCTTGGTTCCGATGAAGTTTGAGTTTACATGACTCTATTTTGTCTTTTTTGTACGAATGGTCATTATCCGGATTTAGTTACCTAGCACACGTGCCTTGGGAAACGAGAATCATGAAGGATGCTGCAAATCAGGTCCAATCGCCCTGTCGACACCTGTACAGAGTATTTGTACAGACCCATAGCTGGGCCACGCAAAGTTATACCTGCGATGCCTTATGAGACCTGGTCAGCTTCATTGAGGTGCGTTTGACTGGCTCTCAAGGAGATAGGCCCAGCAAACCTTGCCGATTACGCATGAAAAGTTGTGACATGTACCGCAAGCTTGGTGCCATGGCGGTCGATTCGGAAAGCTCTAGGAGCCGAGGTTGAGGATTTAAGCTACTGGGGTTCATTCAAGCAGCTGCAACTCTCGTAAGGCGCCTTAAAGCCCCGCCTGGAGTCAATTCATGAATCATGCCGCGTGTCTTTTCGCAGTGAAGCTCCCACAACCCGTCAGCCTGTGTCTCTGCGCTATGTTTTTTACCATTTTATGTATCCTGAGGTCATGGCTTGTCTGCTCGGTAACATGGACTGCGTAGAGAGGTCAAGTGAAAAAGAGATGGCAGCGTGAGCGCGGGCCGCGGGATGGACTCCCAAACCAGTTCCGTTTCTGGAAGACATGGACTGGGAATCAGAGGCGGGAAGACTGTTGGAGAGTGACTTGGGATGGAACACAGTATCGGATGAGACGTGCCGACCTCTTGGTCATGGCAAGTCTTTAGCAAAGTTATGAGACGAAAAAAATAAAATAGAAAAGTGAATGGCCACTAACTGGCACACAAGCGACCATGAGCAGCGTCCAACCAACCCAGCCCAGTCCTTCGGATACCTATCCCAACGCATGTCAGATTATGGTCTCCCAATAACCACGTCTTGGTTCCTGACAACTGGCGGCCGATCCCATCTAGGAACGACCCTTCACACCCACTTACTTTTTGGGCAGTGAGATAGTACATACAGCATGACTGATCTGCCGCAGTGCAATCGCGGCTCATGAGCAAGCCCAGAGGAGCTTCTAGCTTTCCTGCCCTTCCAGTCATGTATTCGCAGCTTCCTTTACTAGATCAACGTCGTACAGGGATCATGTTGCTCATCGCGATAAAGACGCCTCTTCGTGTGGTATCAAACCCTCAAGGACCAACTCAAGAACCAACAGCGACGACAAAGCAATTATCACTTATCAAGAAGAAGCAGCCCAGAAAAACAAAAACTCCGCCTCCTCGCCGCCTCGCGTGAGCCCGGCCCCGAAGATTGGATTCAGACAATGTTTCAGTTCCGGGGTTGGCTACCCTACTTTTTTCACCTCTAACCTTGCAAGCTAACCGCACCGCAGCGTAGCACTGCTGGACCCCTGAGCAGTAACCGGGCACGGAAGTCATTCCGGGGGCTCTCTCTCGTACATTCCAGGATGAGGCAGAACCCCGAGTCGGGGGAACCTAAGATGGGGTGGGATAACATGATTGCGAAACGAAACGGTGCAACAACTCCCCCGACTCTGTTGTTGGTATCGAGTATCGACCCGACTCGCCCACTACGGCCACACTGCCATTATCGCCACAAGCAAACACGGCGCGTCTCTTGACCAGCCCCCGTCTTGCCGTCTCTCTCTCTTTGTCTCTCACTATTTTCAGTGTCCATGTGCCTGTAGTGTATGGACTTTGGAGGAAGCATCGTGGTCTAAGGCAAGCCTAGTAACTAGCAGGTCGAAAGAGTACCGCCATACAGAGAAGGTACGGCAAGGGTAGCTCCTCTTGGCCAACCACTTTTGTTGAGCTCAAGGTGCAACTACGACCGGCGCTTGTGTTTCCTTACATACGAATACTGTCCTTTTTGTCTCCCCCCCTCCACCCCCCGTCGCCTTTGCCTCATCCCACCCACCACGGCACCACGGGCACCACCACCATCCAAGTCACCAACCACCACCACCCATGCTTAATGCCGGCGTCACTATTATGTTTCCTTAATGCATGACGGGCCTGTCTCTCGTCTATTATCTTTCTTCGCCTCCCGCTCACTCTCTATCCTTTGGCTCTGAACACACATCTGGCCTGACCAATTTCATACCTGACCGACTTTTCGATTTTCCTTTCCAGCACACCTAAAGTCGACATGCCAGAGACCTAGAGCTCTCTTCCAGTACCCGCTTCGCCTTTGCCCATCGTTTCTCCCGTTGGCAACAAACGAATTACACCACGTTGGCACAATACACTAGACCAACAATTCTATTCGCGCTACAACGTTGGTGTCTTACGTTTTACACTGGCAATTCCTGTGTTGCTGTTCGTCCGCAGTGATATCATCACTCCCAGTACGCGCACCTGAGTTACTAGCCGCCTAGCACGCATCCATCCTTGTCTCTCTTTCTCTCTCTCTCTTGCGCCAAAGCCCATTGCGAGTCGCACATAGCTCTACCCCCTCGCCAAACGCCTCTCGCAGCTTCTCCAGGGCTTTAACAAGCTTTCTCTCTTCTTCAACCTGCCATTGACCCTATATCTGTTCTGGTTGGACGTCGAATTTCACATAGGAGAAAGTAATACGCACGAAACGACACATCCAATCGAGAGAAACTGCTGGGCTACCCCTCCCCCGCATCGCAACTCTCGTACACACAATCCACAATGGCCGCTCCCAACACCTTCGGGGAGCTTGGTCTCTCCATCATTGGCGTCGCCAGCCAGTATCCGCCCTACTCGCTCAAGACAGACTCAATAGACTACCTCAGCAACAAGTTCTATCCAGAATCGCCCTCGTAAGCAGATTGAGGAGCCTATCTAGTCGTAGCAAGACATCTTCTGACCACAGCTACCATGTAGCATGAAAAAGGTTCTATCCATCAACAGATTCACCGGCATTGATTACCGTTCCTCCATCGGCACACACGAGCACGAAGTCGTCAACCAGAAAGATGCCCCCTCCATCACAGAACTCCACAAGGTCTTCATGAGTGACGGCGTGCCTCTCGCCGTGGAAGCATCCCGCAAAGCCATTGAAGAAGCGCGCATCGACCTCTCTGAAATCACCCACGTGGTATCGACAACCTGCACCGACAGCGCCAACCCGGGCTTCGACCACTACGTCGTCAACGGCCTCGGAATCACACACCAAGTCGAAAAGGTTCTGCTCCACGGCGTTGGCTGCAGCGGTGGGTTGGCAACGCTTCGGACGGCAGCGAACTTGGCACTGGGGCACAAGGCGCGCGGAAAACCCGCGAGGATCCTCTGCGTTGCGCTCGAGGTCAGCACCACCATGGTGCGCAGCGAGCTCAACAGCATCGACGAGTTGCAAGAAACCCGGATCGGTGTCGCGCTCTTCTCTGATTGCGCAAGCGCTGTGGTGCTGAGTAATGGCGTCGGCGAGCCAACGGAACCCGTCTATGACCTGTTGGGTTGGGAGCACAAGATCATACCGGACACGGATCAGGACCTCGGCTTCGATGTCGACCCTGTTGGTAAGTTCAAGAACCCCATGGTTAAGCAAGCAAAGTAGGAAATCGACCATCGTAACTAAAGCAACCCAGGTTGGAAAGTAATTCTTACCCCACGAGTGCCAAAGCTCGCATCGGCGGCAATCCCGTCGACATTTGCAGAGATGCTCTCCGATGTACCATCACTACCATCGAATTATCAGAAACCCGAAGACTTCGACTGGGCGATGCACCCCGGAGGAGCGACGATCTTATCAGGGGCAGAGACGACGATGGGCATCACATCGTACCACATGCGGGCGAGCTACGACACATATATCAATCACGGAAACTCGAGTTCGGCAACGATTTTCAGCGTCATGGACAGGCTGCGGTCCAAGGACATGGACGCCGTGGCGCCCGAGGGCCGAGCCCGGGACTACGTGGTGGGGTGTGCGTTCGGGCCGGGGATCTCGGTGGAGATGTGCATGCTGAAGCGGAACATGCGGGCGCGAGGCGCCACGGGGCTGCAGACGCCACCGGAGACGGAGAGCGAGGGCAGCACTAGCGAGGCTGGGGATGATGGCGCGGTGCGATCGGAAGAGCGGGCATCTTCGGGGCGTCAAGCAGACCAGACCTTTGTTGCAGAGGCAATGGAGGAGCTGGATCTCGACTGAGGGGGTTTTGAGAGGCTAGGTTCGGAAAGGGTGCTCTGGGCTAGAGCGGGAGATCGTATATAGCGAGGCGAGAAAGAGCAGGACGTGCGGATACATACCCATGACTTGACGGCGCTAATGAAGACATGGCAGGCCGGAGAGATGGCCGAGGTGGCCAGCGTTTCCCGGGATGGAACGCTGGCGAAGATGACGAGTGCTAGATATTGGTTAAGACGGCGGTAGAACTGAATAGATGAGCTCCAAGAGATTCCCAGTTTCGGCGTCATCCATTGGTTGACTTATTGAGAGGTCGCGAAGCCATGGCATGGCTCTATGCAAGCTCGTGGTTTGGACCCGAGATTCGAGATTGCGAGTTCGTGTTTGCGCCGGAAGGTGGACAGGCGAGTTGTTGGAAGTGGAGAGGCACGATATCAGAGACACGAGATGAGCCGAAGCGTGGGTAATTCTTCCGGCAATGAAAGAAGGTATCGTGCCTTGGAGGTCGATTGTGCCGAGGAAAGAATGGCGTCGAGGGGCGTTTTGAAGGCGTGCAGAGTCGGTTTTCGGCGGACAAAGGATGGAAGCTGGACGCGATCCCGCATCTTTCCGGGCCTTCGGCAATGGGCTAAGGCTGGGGGTGGAAACGTGAGGGCGCAGACGGGAAGCGGACGGGATGAGTTCATGGCTCCCCGGGGGAGGTTATCGTCATGGAGCAGCGCGATTGGTCTGGCTTTTCCGGGGCCCGGCGCACATGAGGTAAGGAAATGGTCGGTCGGGATAGCATGGGCTGGGTGTGGGTGGGATGGAGGGGTTGTGAGGCGGAGATTCGTTGTTGCGGGTGAACCTAGAACAACATTAGTTCCAGGTATCACTTTGGTTTCCCACCTACCAAGTATCTAAGGTGTAGATGGGAAAATTACACCGAGAATCGGTCTCGGTGAGACGTCACCCTGCGTGATGATAATAGTCGCAACCCTAGAGGTCAGAGAGTTGAGTCATTCGATGGGCGACGGGGCTACTACTGTACATTAAATATCGCAGTGGTGGACACAAAATAATAAGGCCGAGAGATCTGGAGGTGGAAAAGTCAAATGCCATGATTGTCAGCAGTCTGCGCCCCGGCCAATGGCGGTGTCGGCGCGCCAATTGCACCAAGGTCGCAGGTGTGTCCGTACCGTTTGCCCAGGTTCAGGTGGTCTGTTGCAGGCGGTTTCGGTGGTGTCAGGTCTAGGCCCCCGCCATTATTGATGGCTCCTTGACCCAAAGAGACCAAAAAAAGCAGAGGCGACGATTGGATCCCTGCAGAAAGTGGTGCAGTATCAATTTTTTGACGTCAATTTGATGGTCGGGTGGGGGGAGGGGTTACTCGCGTTTGACGTGGTGGTAAGAGGAAATAGAGGGGCTGTTCGTAGCTGTCCGAAGTACCCCTCTTGCTGTCCGACCGGTCGAGGTACTTGCCCCTCAACAACTCATAGTGTTCCATTGGGTTGAGACAGGCGCAGTGTTGTTGATGGCTTGTTTCTCTCAATGGAAGCATTGCTCGGATTCAGCCACAGGTCAAGCCGTTTGCTTGCTGTCATGGTGTAAAGTAGGTAATTGAGTGTGTTAAAAGGAAGATGTATTGCCTAGGTAAAGTCTCTTACCTAAGATTGCTCTATTATGTCACAGGTTCATGTTCGTGACTGATGTACAATTCTCGATGGAAGGTGCCAGGAGAGGTATGTCCACTTCCTCCCATTACCGGAGTGACCAAAGGCAGGAAAGAACGAGGGAGCATGGGATGCTCGGTGGACGGTGGTACCTCCCCCAAAAGAATTGAAGCTGGCAGAGCGGAGCTCCTCATGGACGGAGTCAGGTACCTCAGAACCACCAGGTATAGTACTCCCGCTCGGAGCAGTTGAAGGGGAAACCACGGCCAAATCGGCGTCACCCATGTACCTTACCTCGCATCTCACGCAACACGCCCAGCCAACCAGCCAACGCTTGGTCAAATTGGAAGAGGTGGGAGAGCACCCGCCGGTAACTGGACCGATGCTTGGCCGTAGGCGTGGCCCATCGACGGACGGTCAAGGTGGACCGGGTCTGGCTGGCTTGGTACAGTCAGTAGCTGCAGTACACTGGACCAGTCCTGCTCAGCCCGAGTAAAATCCCGCTCGTGGGAATCAAACATAACTCGCCCGCGTCCACCTCAACCCCGAGCCAAACTCTCCTGTTGATTCTTCTCCCTCTTCTCCAATACCTGTCCCTGCATATTCTCTTACCTTTTTATCCTTCTGCCTCTGAGCATCAATCTAGAAACAGTCCGACTTTACTCTGGACAAGTTACTATACGCAATCAACCTGAACATCTTTTCTACCCCACGTCAGATACCCCGCCATTCACAATGGGTCTCCTGTCAGAGCTCAACATCAAGCCTGGTGTCGTCTACGGCGATGACCTCCTGAAGCTCTTCAACTACGCCAAGGCCAAGCAGTTTGCCATTCCTGCTGCCAACGTCGTAAGTAGCTTCCCTTTGGCTCCTTGGACCATATCAATCCCAATCTTGTCGATCCTGTGACGCGTGCCGAGTTGGCGCCGTGCGGCCCAAGAATGGAGGGGAAATAATATTTGGTGACAATCGGCTAACAACGACCCCGCCTCCCAGACCTCCTCTTCCACCGCCGTTGCCGCTCTCGAGGCTGCCCGCGAGGCCAAGTCTCCCATCATCCTCCAGACGTGCGTAGAAATCCTATACCGATCCCATGGATCCAAGACCAGCCACACCATGAACTTTAGCAACATGTCTGATAGCTTTACAGTTCCCAGGGTGGTGCCGCCTACTTCGCCGGCAAGGGCATTCCCAACAGCGCCGACAAGCAGGAGGCTTCCGTCGCCGGTGCCATTGCTGCCGCTCACTACATCACCTCTATCGCCCCCATCTACGGCGTTCCCGTCGTCCTTCACTCTGACCACTGCGCGTAAGTACTCAGCACAACTGCCTAACCTCAAGACCCAGCAAACTGACCTTCTACCACAGCAAGAAGCTTCTGCCCTGGCTCGATGGCATGATCTCCGCCGATGAGGAGGAGTTCAAGCGCTCCGGCCACCCCCTCTTCTCTTCCCACATGATCGATCTCTCCGAGGGTATGTAGTTGAGTTCTAATCTCGCCCTCCCCATGACCATCACTAACAAACACATAGAGGATGTCGCCTACAACATCGAGACCACCGCCAAGTACCTCAAGCGCTCTGCTCCCGTAAGTCACAAACAGAACCTTTTTCTTGCGCCTATCACTAAAGCATTACGCACAGATGAAGCTGTGGCTCGAGATGGAGATCGGTATCACCGGTGGTGAGGAGGACGGTGTCAACAACGAAGACGTCGACAACAACTCCCTCTACACCCAGCCCGAGGACATCTACGCCATCTACCAGGCCCTGAGCCCCATCAGCCCCTTCTTCTCCATCGCTGCCGGTTTCGGTAACGTCCACGGTGTCTACAAGCCTGGGTAAGTCGCGTTTGTCTCAAAAACCTGCAAACCACAGCTCTAACCCATGGCAGCAACGTCAAGCTTCACCCCGAGCTCCTCGGCAAGCACCAGGAGTTTGTCCAGCAGAAGCTGGGCACCGACGACAAGAAGCCCGTCTTCTTCGTCTTCCACGGTGGCTCCGGCTCCGCCGTCGAGGAGTTCCAGAAGGCCATCTCCTTCGGTGTGGTCAAGGTCAACGTTGACACTGACCTGCAGTGGGCCTACCTCACCGGTATCCGCGACTACGTCACCAAGAACATCGACTACCTGAAGACCCAGGTCGGCAACCCCGAGGGTGACGACAAGCCCAACAAGAAGAAGTACGACCCTAGAGTCTGGGTCCGTGAGGGCGAGAAGACCATGAAGGAGCGCGTCAAGCAGGCTCTGTTCGACTTCAACGCCAACGATGTTTTGTAAAGGAAAAGTTCATGGGTGATACCTCCACAGAGATGAGACCAAAAATGGGATGTGGTCTGCTCTGTTCCGTAGGATGATGATGGCGAAAAGCCCACCTACGTAGTTCTCAAAATGAAGTAAAAGAGACAACCAACCGACCTATGCAGATGGTGACTGTGACAACATGCATCGTTCCCACAACGTGAAATGCCCAGCAGTGACGGCGGGGTTTTGTATGAGGATACCTGCAGGGGTTTTAACGGTCGGTCCAACGGTGCACACGGAAAACACCTGCCAGAAGCGGTACGATGGATGCAAGGCCCATATTTGACAACTTGAACCAACAACTTCAAGCTCGGCGACACCTCATTATTATGTGACCAAAGTCTGCAATCGAATATGAGCTGCCCGCACTAAGCTTTGATGTTATCGGCCCAATTGCCCGTTGAACCCCGCCGGGATTGAGCTAACCCTTCCGTTCCCTTGTGCTGCTACGTCGTCTCATGTCCGTCGGCGGACCAAAGCCGGTGAGGAGAAACATCCCATGCCTTGCAACACCAGCCCCCAGATTGTTAATCAACTTTCCCCTGCAAATGTTTATTGGTTCACTCATCACTCAATTAATCTTATTCAACTCTCATAAATACCCACTAGTAGCTGGAGTTGTGAACTGGCTTCAGTTGACTGAGCTGTAATCTGTAATCACACATAAAACGGTTCTTGCATATCTTACCTCCATCACAATGGCCTCCGTTTTCGGCTTCCTACGACGAAACTATCTCATCTTCAACCCGCCCGTCGCACCAAAGCAAGATGGCGCCATCCGCTTCGGCGTCCTGGGTGCAGCCAATATTGCGTAAGTACCATCTTGGACTTTGTCTTTTCATGAAAAGAGAACTCCTACAAATTCACCTTATCATCAATACTTGGAAGCTAACCCGAGACGTAGCCCAATGGCCCTCATCATCCCGGCCAAAACTCACCCAGAGGTCATAGTCCAGTCCATTGCCGCCCGCGACCGTAAAAAGGCCGAGGCCTTTGCCGCGAAGCACGGTATCCCGGACGTCAAGGACTCGTACTAGGCCGTCATTGACGACCCGGAGCTCGACGCAATCTACGTCCCGCTGCCCAACGGCCTGCACTACGAGTGGGCCCTCAAGGCGCTGCAGGCTGGCAAGCACGTTTTGCTGGAGAAGCCGTCCGTCTCCAACGCCGAGGAGGCCGAGGCCCTGTTCCGGCTGCCGCTGCTCAAGGAGAAGGGAGCGCCCGTCCTGCTGGAGGCGTTCCATTACCGCTTCCAGCCGAGTTGGCAGTACTTCATGGGGCTTGTTGACAAGGAGAACGTCGAGCACGTGCACGCGCGGGCGTATATCCCCTGGTTCGCGCTCGGGGACGACGATATCCGGTTCCAGTACGGTCTTGCCGGTGGCGGGCTGATGGATTTGGGCACGTATACCGTCTCGAGCATCCGGCAGACGTTTGGCGTCGAGCCGGAAGAGTGTCTGACGGCCAAGTTCAAGACGATGCCGCCGCCGGAGGAGAGGGCGGATTACGCGTGGGACATCACGTGGCGGATGGCCAACGGCGGGACGGCGCACGCCGAGGGTGCGTTCCGGACGGGGACGTTGGGGATGGGACTGCCGCGGCTGAGCGTCGTTCACAAAGAGGTCAAGGTTGCGGACGACGACAAGTTGCCTGCGGGCCAGGAGAAGACGCGGAAGCGGACGATTGAGTTTGCGAATTTCATGCTGGGCGGGATCTGGCACCGCATCGACGTCGTGGACGAGTTTGTGGTGAAGCGGACGGGCTCGGGCGAGGTGGTCAAGAGGTGGACGGAGAAGACGTCCAAGAAGGCGTATACCTTTGATGAGGCCGGGTTGGCGGGCAAGGGCGAGGAGTATTGGTTCACGTACCGGCATCAGCTGGAGCAGTTTGTCAACCGCGTCAGGGGCAGGGAGACGAGCGTGTGGGTTGATGGGGAGGATAGTGTTAGTCAGATGAGGATGATTGACATGGCGTATGAGAAGGCTGGGCTGCCGCTTAGAAAGTCAACCAGTGTTACGATTTAGGGGGAACGGTTGAACGATGGTCTTTCGAGATCATTGATGCGAGTTCTCGCCCCGGTTTATATCATGGGGATATCTTTATGAATGTACAAACTTTTGTGTGTCCAGTTTCCCATCTTCTTTTTGGCCATTCACATTCCTACACAGCCCTAGTTGCGGAACAACCGTAGACCAGCCTCTTCAGCATCAACCTCCTCATCGTCCTCCATCTCCGCATCAGAAACCTGCTCGCCGAGCTCCATCTTCTGGCCAAACAGCGTGCCGAACAATCTGTCGACGGCATCCTGCTCCCACGCCCTGCGGTCCTCGGGCGCCATGAAGTTCTGCAGCTTCTCGTGGACATTGAAGCGCATCTTGCGGCCCTTGCTCGCGCGCCTGTCGACGTGCTTCTTGGTCTTTGCCTCCTTCATCGCCGCCCACCGCACTGTGGGCTGCGCGCCCGAGGCGCCGGCGCCGCCGTTGTCGGCGGTGCGCTGCTCGACGAGCTCCTTGAGGAGGAGCTGGTAAAAGTCGGCGTCGTCGTAAATGTCCGGGTCCTCGTTGACCTTGGCCGCGACCTGCGCCGGCGCGCACGAGCGCGGGGTACGGGTGCGCTTGATGAGACGGTCGGCGGAGAGGAGCTGCTCCTCGAGGGAGGCGACGATGGACGTCTGCGAGGAGATGAGGTTGCGCGACTTGACCTCCACCGTGGCGCTGCGCGTCTTGCTGGACCACGTCTCGAGCACCTTTTTGCGGTATTTGGCCGCGCGTTCCTCGGCCTGCTGGATGCCCTCCCAGATCTCCTGGCTCGAGGTCGCGGCGTCGAACGCTTCGCCCCTCTTGCGCTTGCCGCCGGCCTGCTGCTGCTGTAGCTCTGCGGGGAGCAGGCTGGCGCGGAAGCTGTCGAGGGTGTTGAGCAGCTTGAGCGCCGCCTCCTCGGCCGCCTCATATGGTTCAGAGTTTTGCTCTTCTTCGTCGTCCTCGACGGTGGAGTACGAGTTTGTGGCAACGAGGGCCTTTTGCAGCCTGATGCGGATGTTGAGGAGGCCGTCAAAGGTTTTGCGCTGCTCGCGGACGGCGAGGCCCTTTTGGGCGTCTTGTTGAGCGGCGGCGGAGATGGAGGCGGCGAGGACCTTGGAGCCTTCGTTCATGAGCCTGCGCTGCTCGGCTCTGGCGTCGGCTTGGGAGGACTTGCCGCGAGGCTTGTCGTCTTCGTCGTCGTCGTCCTCAGAATCTTCCTCCGATTCTTCATCTGAGCCCAATTCGTCTTCCTCGTCCTCGTCTGACCCTTCCAATCCGTCCGTCAGACCTTCGTTGTCATCTGAGTCGTCCATCTCGTCGTCCTCATCATCCAATGCAGCGCCCTCGCCGTCCTCGTCGTCATCATCTTCCTCCTCCTCTTCCTCGTCGGAGATGAAGTCAGCAGCGGTAGGTCTCTTGCTTCGGCTTCCCTTCTTATCCTTGGGCTGCGAGCTGCCGCGGAAAGCAAAGGCCTCGAGCTTCTCATCGTCGCTCTCGCCGAGTGCGTCGTCGCTTGAGATCTCGACGTCTTCGTCTCCGGCGGCTGCAGTGTCGGCAGCCAAGTCGGCGGCGTCCGGGTCGTCGTACTCCTCGCCATTAGAGTCTAGGTCCTCCTGCGCGTCCTCGAATATCTCGCTATCATCGTCGTCGCTCGACTCGTTCAGTGCGTCGCGGCTGACGCGAGCGCCGCGGTATTTCGGGCCTAGCGAGACACCCTCCTTGCCCCGGAGTTTGCTCTTGCTGTGACGGAAGGTTAGTTCTCCCCCAGGCTAGATATGCATGCTTTCTGTTGAGCGTGTATCGTACCCGACTGCGACATAGTGCTCGGTGCCCGCATTCTCATCTGCGCTTTCTTCACTGCCGCTGTCATTTTCGCTTTGCTCGACATGCTCAGCCTCAGGATCGAGATCTAGAAAATGTCAGAGTCAATACTGCAATGATGTGCTTAGCAGATTTTTGCATACCCTTTGCTGGCTTGTCTTCCCAATCTGATGTTCTTCTACGGGCCGACATCGAGCATGTGGTTTACGGCTTGTGTGGCAATTCGCAGAGGGGCCTGCTGCGCAATGCTAGGTGAATTTTCTGGGCTTCAAGAAACTTTTTGGTGGTGAGGAGCGGCAGAACCAAGGACCCCACCAAGGAAGTTTGACGCATTATGTAAGCTCAGCTCGTGGCCCCCTGTACAGCTGGCTGCCAAAGGTGGTGTCGGCATGTTCAGTAATAAATACTCTGGGACATGCTTGATGATGAGGAACACTCAATCTTTGAGAAATAAAGTGATTCAAGCCAACGGGGATTAATTTAGGGACTTGAGGAACACCTCGTAGACTCCAATCTTCAAACTTCCGACCTTTTGGACTTGGATTCTCTCAAGGCCCACAACCTGTAAGATGGATGATGTATCGGTGTTGGAAGCAGATTCCGTGTCTACCTATTACCTAGCTGAACGGGAGGCAACCCTCCATTTCCGGTACTCGGACAAGCACAAGGCAGACTTCTCTTCTGGCTAAGGATCTGAGAGTCGATACCACGCCCTTTAGCGGTTCAGCCTCGGTTGACGACCTGGGCAATGGGTGGAATGCCGTCATTCGAAATGAAAGCCTCGATAGGGCGACCAATCATTCAAGGATCGCATCACGTAAAAGTGGACTTAATGAAGATAACGCGTGACCGGACGCTCAACCGGTCACGTGAAGGTCAGCGGGATTAGCTGAGAGCAGGAAAGCCCCGATACCCGAAAAAAGAAGTGAGGCTAAGAGCCTAAGGGGGGGACAGTGAGGTACCCAGGTACCTGCCTGAGCAAACAGGGGAGAAAATCGCCATTACTCGCCTGCTCCCCATCGCTCAACAGTCGCTCACGATCGAACGCGAGAAACAAACAAAAACAGGTCCGCCGGGGGCCTCGCCATGCGCAATGGAGCAGATTGATGCGCAGGTCAGCGACTTGCGCTACTTGACCCAAGCAGCCGTTCCTTTGCCGCCTGACCGCGCTGCCAATGCCGCCGCTTATTCTCCACACAATCACTCTGTCCATTCCCCCCTTTCCGCGACCCCCGGAGACAATTCCGCACAACAACCAGGGGCCTCCAGAGGTGCAACTCAAGTTGGAACGCCTGGCTCAAGCTCCGTTACTGGTTCCAAGAGGAAGTCAGAGGATGAGAGCAATGCTGCTAAGCAGCAGAGAAGCAAGAGGAACCGGGTGCGTAGTCTTTGCCGCTGTCTATGCGTCGTTCCGTCTTTACCATTCATTACCTTAGCTACCCATCGTCTCCTTGTTCTTGTCATTCTTCCCCTGTGAAGACCTTTCCCGCTGTGTGCCATGTCATTGATAAACTTTGTGGAACTCCAGAAAGCTAATTGCCGCTGTAACAGTACATATCCATTGCCTGGTAAGGATACCTCCGTCCCGGCCATGTCTTTGGCATGCGCCCAGCCGAATACCATTGCAACTTCTTCTCCTTGTGGTCGGAGAATCTTGACCCAACCGTCTACCTACACAAATCATTGGCTGTCATAAGCTCCTCCAAGTCTCTAAACTCATCTGCACAAAAGGACGAGATCACTAATTCGGCCCACGCTCTCTCAAACAGTAACGAATGCAAAAGACGCAAAATCAAATGCAATGGCGAAACTCCCTGCCAACGATGTGGCAATCTCAACCTGCAGTGCCTCTATGCCCCGAATTGCTGCTCCAACAGCTTCAAGGACTCGGACGAGTACAAGACCATGACGGAGCAGATGACCCGCTTGCAAGAGCAGGTCGATAACCTCTATCAGAACATGAATACTCTCCGGTCTGAAACCCTGCGTCTGGCGCCCATCCAGGACAAAGTATTGCCTTTCCCCTCAAGCACAGTTCAGGCCTCCCCGGCGAGCTCGCTGTCTCCTCTCCACCGGCCTGAGTTGACCCAAACGAAGCAGGCAACTTTCCGTGGCCCAACAAGTATGGCTTACAGCCTGGACATCGCCAACACTACCATTCACAATATGGGTTACAAGGGCATTGGGGAGGATGAACAAGGCACGCCCCTGGGTGTACCCGAGGACAGTCCTTTCCGCATGCCTCCTCAAGAAAGCCAAATTGACCCCTTGTGGGACTTTGGCAAGGACGAGATGATTCGTTTGTGTCGCCTACATGACGAAGAGGTCGGCATCATGTATCCTGTCATCAAGATACCGTCAGTCATTGAGCATGTCCGTCACCTGACGGCTTACATGGAATCAGCCAGAAAGCAGGGAATCACGCCAAACCTCAATGATGACAAGACACTGCAGCTCAAGATCGTCATGAGCTGCGCTCTTGTGGTGGAAGAGCACGGCCACAGTGAAAAAGCGTGCAAGCTCATTGACAGCATGGACGCCGTTCTCAATCGGAAGCTCATGGTCGAGGTGGTCGACTTTGTGAGTCTTCCAGCTTTGTGTCTTCTCGCTGGTTACAGATTCTTGGCCAACGAGGAAATCCTGGCATGGCGCGTAATGGGCCAAGTCACCAGACTGTGCTTGGAGATGGGCATCCACAGAACAACCGGCATCGCCAAAATCAAGAACGAAGAGGATAGGAAAAATGCGTTGAACAGTTTCTGGTCGGCCTACGTTCTGGATCGGCGGTGGGCTTTCAACACTGGCTTGCCGTTCGTCGTTCCGGATGAAGAGATCGATCCAGAATTACCCATGCCTGTGAGTAACCCTGTTCCAACATGAAGTATCTGGGCGTGTCTTTACTCACAGTTGCACAGGAAGAATATCCGTACTTGGTTGCTATGATCAGCTACTCGAGGTTGGGAGCCAAGGTCTGGCGTCAAGTCACAGACTTTGGCCCTGTCCTAGCCCGTGAGCTCCGCCATGAAGACATGGAGCAGTTAGACCAAGAGATCCTTCAATGGTATGAGAACGTACCAGAAGAAGTCAAACTACGCAATTGGGATAAGGAGAAGCAAATGACCTCGACTCCGTCGTATAACCTTCAACGCCTGCGCATCTGGACATATCTCCGGTTTAATCAGGTTTGTGTTGCTATATAAAAGATTGAGGCCATGACCTTGATGCTGACTTGTCTGCAGATCCGCATCTGGCTGTATACACCAATCCTGCATAGCGCAACTAGCATCATGGGCCACTTTGCTCAAGCTCAGCGTGTAGTTGATCTCGCGAAAGACACGATCCGCTATCTAAGCCATCTCAACAACACCACGAATTTGTATCGTAAGATACAAGTATTCTACCACCAATTTCTGACATCGGCAATTTCTGTTCTCTTCCTGGCTTCTGTCCATGCACCAGTGAGGTTTAGCTCCACGTGCCGAGAAGAGTTCTACATGGCCCTGGAGCTTGTCAAGGACCTATCCGCCAAAAGTTGGGTCTCCCAGCGGCTATGGCGTACCATCAGTTCCCTCAAAGAAGTTGCACCAAGCATTGGTCTTCGCAACTTGCCAGATGAAGATGCGCACAGCTCCGCGGCTCTGACAATGGCTGGACTCGCGAGTGGCGGACGCATGCCAAACAGCCCGGCGGGGATTGCGCCTTTCGGACGCTCATCCACAACGCCAACGATACCCCAACAACAAACGCCAAACCTGGATACGGCCCAGTCACCAAATAACGGAGTCCGCATTCAAAACGAGATGAGTCGCATTTTTGAGGGATACTTGGGGCTCAACGGCTTCGCATCTAATGGGGACGATGGTTTCGGTGGCCAGTCCGACGCCAGCATGCCGCCGACCACTGCTGTATCGAGCCCATACGTCGACAACGTCTTCAACCACTTTAGGGAAATGTTCTAGTGTTTATCGAGCAGTTCCTTCACATCCTATATTTAGTGAATCTGTTGATTTCATGTATCTAGCGGAGACTTAGCGCTTGCTTCCATATCTACGCTGTACATGTTGCATGGCATCAATACCAGCTCATTCTGCAACTGTTTTCTCAATCCTCTTGGCTAACCACAGCTATCACAAGCCGAACCACTTCAAGTCCTGATCCTCCTGAACCGGAACAGTGTGTCCAACACCTTGCGCAGAGTATCCCACGAGCTTAGTGCCGTCTCCGTAAATTATTTGCGTGTATCCACTGATGGGCGTGTTGGTGTTGTTCTTCGCAAAGCTCACACCGTGGATGGTAGACCACTCCTTGAGCTGCTCAGCCAAGTTGGGATACTTGACAAGCGAGTCCGCCGTGCCGTGGAACGTCTGCACGCGCGGGTAGCTCCCGTTGTAGCCGGGATACATGGCGCGCACCTGCGCGGCCCACTGCTCCCCCGTCTTCACGACCAGCCCATTGGCGCACGTGGGATCGGCGCTGATGGGGCTCGAGCCGGGCGAGCCCGCCAGACAACCCGCCGCGACGCCCGAGTAGCACGAGGTGGCGGCGAAGAGGTCCGGGTACGTGGCCGTCAGCACGTTGGTCATCATGCAGCCCGACGAGCTGCCTGTGACGAAGACGCGCTTCGGGTCGGCGCCGTACTGGGCGATGGTGTAGCGGATCATGTTGGCTAGCCCCGTGGAGTCGCCGCCGCCGTCGCGGGTTAGGCTGGCGGTTGTGGCGACGTCCCAGCAGTTGAAGTCGCGGGAGGAAGACGGGTAGATCACGACAAAGGTGCCCTTCGCGTCCGACAAGGGGATGTACTCTGCCTGCCGGCTGTAGGCCGCGCCGGAGCCGCCGCAGCCATGAAGAGCGAGGATGATGGCAGGGGAGGCGGACAAGTTTGGGGGCACGGAGATGTCCATTGTTAGACCTGTTGGGTTTGAGCCGAAGTTTGTGACGCGCTGGAGGGCTGCGTTGGCTTGGGTTGCCAGCGGGAGGGCGGCGACGAAGAGGGTGAGGGGATGCATGTTTAGAAGCGTTTTTGTGAGTAGTGATTTGCGGATCTTGATGTTGCACAAGCTTGTTCTAGATGGAGATGCAGAGATCAGATGGAAGGTCTATCGACAATGAGTTTGTTTAAATACAGGAGATTTGGAACCTTCGAGTCCGATTATCAGAAGTCAGAGACATCTCTCAACAGCCGTTGTGACTTGCCTAAAGTCCAGGGCCTCGGCTCAATGCAGAAGACCAAACCAAACGCATGGTAAGCGCCTCCCTGGTATAGTATCGTCACATCAAAGAGACCAGCAAAGAGCTCCTACGCAACACATGTCAAGAGGGGAAAGCAAGTCGGGACTCGGGACCGTGGATATACGCAGTAGAAAAGGCAAGTTCAAGGCTATAAAAGGGGAAGGTTGCGATTTGCTGGTTGAGGTTGGTTGGCAAATTACCCCTGAGTATCCAAGAATCTGAAAAAGTGCCCATAGCTTCGGCAGCGATGGTCGGTAGTTGGGGATGTTCCATCTTGGCTCTTGTCCTATATATATTGCGGATCTGCTTGGCTTTTTGGTGGGATGATAGATGAGATTGGTGGCCAATCTAGGCGGAACCAGAAAAAGAAGGTGTTGTTTTCGTCTCGTTTTGGAGAAGGACCGTAGCCAAGTGAGGACGATCCTCGGTTCGCATAACCCCGCGCGGGCAGGGGTACCTCGGTACGCGTATTAGATTGAGGTGGTATTCCGATTTTAACTGAGTGACGGACAAGACTGTTGTGGGAGAGAGCTAAGAAAAAGCAAAGAAACGATTAAGTTACAGCATGGACATGTCGCGGGAAAGGCCCGTCGCAAGTAGTCCGATCGGCCCCGCCCCCCGGGCCCGAATGTCGGTGAGAAGTGGGGATGCTTTTCGGAGGACTGGCGTTATCTACTGCCTTGTCTCTGTCAATCCATGAGACTTCATTCTAGGGCCCCGTCATGTTCACGAGGCCTTACCCTGGGGACCGATTGACATCTTTCGACCCTCAAGGTCTTTCAATGTCTTTGGTGAACCCGACCTTTGCGGAATCCTAGATATAACCTGATCGCAAGGTCAGGTACATTACGGGAAGGTCGAGGTAGCCGGATGATCTGTACCATGGCTGCGCAAGGGGTCCTGCGAAGGAGTGCCTGTTAGCGGAACTAAACAAGGTTTATAAGACTTCGTATGACGAGCATTAAGCACTTCATGCCCAGCGGTCGTGAAAACTTTCTCCGTTAACATGTCCGGAAGTCGTGGTTAGTTGGTATCTCCGAAGCTTGCAAAAAAAGATATACAATGACCCAACTTATCTGCAGACCAAATTGCTAACAAAAATATCATCCCTTCTTCGCATGTCAGCTGAGTACTTTCTTCTAGAATCTGACATCCATACTCGACATCTTCTCGTGTGTATTCAGCAGCGTTATTGCAGCTAGCAACGATAACTACTAACAACCTCTCGATTAACCACCTACCTCAAGAATTCCTACGAGACAAATCATCGCCATGGAGACCGGCTTAGCAGTCACAATCGCCGTGCTCAGTACGTTAGTAGGGAGTGGCATACTCTACGGCGTATACAAATGCGTCGTCATACAAAAGGGTCCCGACCCGGACCTCGAGAATGCCCTTCCGCCGGCGTACTGCACGTATCAGATGCCGCCGGTGCAATATCAAGCGCCGGCCCCAGCCTATCAGCCTCCGGTCCAGTACCAACCGCAGGTTCAGTACCAGCCGCAGGCTCAGGCAGGCTTGGTGCCGGCTGCCTTGGCAGCACTGGGGGCCCTGTGGCCGCAACCTCCGCCTGCTGCCGCACAACGTCAGTTATGGTGATCCCGCCTCCCGTCTCGCCTGGCGTATTCGCTCGACAATAAGACTGAAAGACGGTTGGAGTGGCATGCCGACCTTTCACTCTGCAACTCAATTTCAGCTATCGCCCAGCGCGTCCGAGCTCGTCGACTCCGCGGCCCGCGAGCGGGCCCAAGACGGGCTTGATCGGCAGCTCCTGGCCAAGACGAAGTTTTGGGATCTCGACACCCTCGAGGAGAACGCCCGTCTCCCCTAGGAGCACCACCGCGCGGCGGGCTACCACGACTCGAAGACTTTCTAAGGTGAGTGAGCGGGAGGAAGGCGAAGATAGCTGCCGGCGAAACTTCATCACAGAAACTAACAACTTATAAGGTATGGCAGAAATCGGCCTCACCAAGTACCGACGTCTACCTGCATAGGAGTCTGCCTCAATGTCAGAAATCGAATCGCAAAAGTGAATCGGTTGTACGTCAGACGGACATAGCCGTTGAAAAAGGCGCACCATGAAGAGAGGATGGGAGCCGAGAATGCGGCTCGCCAGCCTGTCTTGCACGCTCATAGGTGCAGAAGAAGGCAAACGGTGCAGCGGCAAGGATTCAAGCGCGACCCATCAGACTCAGATGCCGGGCTGACAAGTGGCGGGCAATGGGCGCATCATGCAGCCCAGATTTCAAGGGATGGTGTCGCGTGTGGGCACGCTCGCTGTGATTTGCGTGCCACGCGTGCCACTGCATGGCTCAGATAGGCAACTCAAGTGACCGCAGCCAATGGGTGGCTCTCTTATGTCAGATTCAAGCAACAAGGCAGTGAGATAGTTGAATACTGAACAGTAAGAGCATGTGATTGCAAGACAGCCTCAATGTTACTATTCCAAGTCAAGTGAGGAATTATTGCTTCTTCTGACAGCCCGTCGTCAGCCTCCTCCGCTAGTGCCAAGGGCGGGCCGGATTGTGCATCCGAAACACAGAGAGGGCAGGCGCGCGCGAAGGTAGGCAGGAGGTACAAAAAGGCAAGCGAATGTCCGAAATTCTCGTCGGCCTTGAAGTAATCCGAACCCTTCAACATTCCAAACCTAAATAAACCTGGTGAAATTTGTACGTCATCACAGACTGCGTCACGTCTGTCCCTTTCCTCGCCATGGCGGCCTCAACGACATCGGCGCACTTCGTCAACGTCTATCAGTCTGTCGACAAAACCAAGCGCCCCGTTACCACATCGCTGGCAGTCGCGAGATCACCACGCCCGCCATCGGGCGACACCGAAGAAATCAAGGCTACGCTGCCCGAATACTATACTGCACCGCCATGGCGCCTTCTCTGGGATGATTTGGTGCTCTTCATTAGATGCATCGGGTCCATCCCCTTCGTCATCACTCCCCTATGGTATCCTCGGCGAGATGGAGTCCGATACCCAAAGCTCGACAAGTCATGGGTGCCGAGATTGCTCCTATGGGGCCCCATCGACAGCGCCATCACGGCCATCCAAACCTGGTATCAAGGCAAAGTCGACCCCTACTATCCCTCCGGCGAGATGGATGAGCTGTATCCTTCGGTCGGAAACCTTTGGTGTCTCTTTATACACGGCATTCTCATCGTTACGCAACTGGCTTTCTTGATTTCACTACCGTTCCTGGCTACCCTTCCCTTCCAGCTCTTCGTGCTGTACGTCGGCGGATTCATCTTCGTCAACTATATCTTCTGCTTACAGCTCAATGCCGGAACCGAGAACAACTTGCTCAAGTCTCAGCATGCTTTGTGGCCAGAGGCGGCTAAATGGAAGTCGCTGGACCCCAACGAGAACTACAGCGAAGAATGGATCTTTCTTAACGGTGTGTCCGTTGGGTAAGCGCGCCTTGATCACACTATGTCTTGTGAATATGCTTCTGACGGGAGGCTAGCTCGCATTGGCTGCAGGGGAACGTCAACAGACTATCACGCACTTTTCAGCGTCCCATCACCGGTGTCCATAACAGAACGTAGGTTGTACCAACCTCTGAATTTAGTTGCATCCTTCGCTCAACCAAAATGCCGCAGGTCTGGAATCATCTTCGACCTTATCCAGTGTCTCCTAGAGCGATGCTTCTACTTTGGTACCTCGGACACCAGAACTTGCTATGCGCTCATCACAGCTGCCCTGGACCCTGCGCAGAAGAAAGACAAAACGGTTCTCATCCTTCACTCTCAAGGTGGCCTTGAGGGAAGCATCATTCTCGATTGGCTCCTCTCCAACTACCGCCGAGAGACCTTGCATAAGCTGGAGATCTACACTTTCGGTAACGCTGCCAACCATTTCAACGACCCCGAAACTTCTAAAAATGAACACGTTATCGGGCACATCGAGCATTATGGCAACACTGGTGACTTTGTATCCCAATGGGGAGTCATTCATTTCAAGTCTCTGGTTGCCGAGCAAAGCAATCCTCAGCCAATGGATGGAAGGCATCCTTTCTTGCCCATCGTCGATGATATTTTACGCCTTGATAAGAGACAGAACACTTTTGCTGGACTACTTTTCGAGAACAACGTGTTGGGTCACCTGTTGGACCAGCATTATCTCGACAGACTGTTTCCCTTGAATGAAACCCTCACTGGCGTCGTAGAGAGCAAGGAGTCTTTCATGACCAAGCGTATGAAAGCTGGAAATGGCAGTTGCGACGTCGAAGGGCACAAGGTTTGCCAAAAGAGCAGGCTATGGGAGTATATCAATGGTGGAAAGCCTAGAGAGTATAATTTGCAGCAGTCGTTGACATGAGAGAAATCTGATGAGTCCATGGGATTCATATCGGTATTGTGGTAAAATGGAGGAATTTTGGGATGAGTTTGCTTCTCTGTGCCATGTGCATGGCGAGAGTCCGGAGTCACGGGGCGTAATGGATAACATGGGTACATGGAAACAAAATTGTTTGACTAAGGGTATTTTAAAGTATTCACATTGAGCATTGAATACTACTGAATAGACATCGAGAAAATCTTGGGCGAGACCCCTTGATTCCGAGAAACAACCTCGAATCCTACTTTAACAGTATTAACGTAGTCTTTTGCTGTATGAATTTAGTAGATCTGAAAGAGAGGAATATATCCAAAGATTCCTGTATGCTTCAATCCTAAAGAGATGCACCAGTCCTCACTTTTAACACAAGCACGGTAAGCCGGGCCGGTTAAGCCGGTTGCAACGATGACTCCTACACCGCGATCAGCAATTCCAGGCAGCAACGAGTTAAAGAACCCGGTTTTCGCCTGGTCAAAGTAACATTGTCATCAACCACTGAAATTTTGGAACATCTTAGAGCTTCGATTTGCGTTTGGGAAATAATTGCCCTCAATGGCAGGAAAGAGGACCACAGAAAATACTACAACTCATGATCCAGCCAACAACGAGTATGGCTTTAGCAAGGGAGCTTGACCCCGGTACAACACCTAAAATACTCTGTCCCTTCCAGAATTTGCCTTTCGATATTCATTATCAGATTGCCGTTTACTTGGAATACGCGGACATTCTCAAACTCTCAGCCACCAATCACTTCCTCCACGACCACCTCAACGTCCAAACCCTCTTACCGAAACACCAACGGAATCAGTACCTCTACAAGACGGAGCGTTACGGCTATCGCTACGGGCACCGCGGGTTTGGAGGGCGATGGCCGTGCTACGAATGCGGTCGTATCCTAGAGAAGAATTGCTTCGGCGACCGAATGCGGAGGTATGAAAAGTCGTGGTTCCGGAAGTCGTTGATGATGAGGCGGTGCTGGGATTGTGCTGTTCGTGAGAAGTGGTATGGGCACTTGCAGCCGATCAAGAAGGGAGGAGAAGTGTTTTATCTTTGCTGGCGATGTGGGGAATTGTGGAATGAGATGGAGGAGGAGAGGTGCCGGAAGGTGGATGTTTGGATCAAGGTTGATGATGTACATGGGGAGAAGGATCCGGGGCGGAAGTGTAAGGTAACAGTGTGCAATGGCCAAATGTGATCTCAAGATCAAGTATCGAGCATTGTGTAACAAGGATTGATAAACTTTTTGTGAATAATTTAGCCTCAAGGGAAGGATGGATATACGAAGGGAATGGCAAGTCGTTTTCTTTGAGTACTGCAAGTGAAGAGCGCTTGACCTCTCTAGTGCCAACAAGAAACAGAACTAAGAGGTTTGATCAAGGTTTCCCGCACTCAACACGACCCTTACCCACTAGTGGACTTGGCTTTTGTGTGACCGGCAGATCTGCAGGCGTCTCGAAGCCGATGGGGTATACGTGCAGCGGGTTGCAATCTAGAGTCTGGGGACTAGCAGCCTGGCAGGGCTTTGATCTTGTCCCACCCGGAATGTGGGAGAAGCCGTACCTCACGATGCTTCAGAAGGGCGGAGCCTAGGAGGATCTGATCTAATCACGTCACTCGATGCATTTGACAGGGCATTGATTGATCTTGAACACCTGTGCTGGTATCTTCTAGCTTCGAACCCTGAAAGAACATCTCTACATCTAAACATACCGCAAGCAGACCCTCGACAGTGAAACTTGGTTGCGCTAGATGCATCTTACACCGTTTCGTTGGCCACCTCGAGAGCTTTATCAGCGACGCTGCTTTGCGCTCTTCCCGTGTCATATTCCTTATCTTCATAAGGCTTAGCTCCCATGTTCGTCCAAGCACGCTCGATCATTAGCGTAACCTCCTTCTCCTTTCCGCGGAAGAGCAGCTCTGTGTCCCCAATACCGAAGGCCGTAATGGATTTATGCTGGGTAGCATTAGACGTGAAGCTTCATAGACTGTGGAAAAGTGTTTAGGATAAAAACTTACGAGACCCAGCGTCAGCTTAATGACGCCGTCTGCCCAGTAGTGCTCGTAAATGTTGGAAGGCTTCTTCGACTGAAGGGCAAGAACGAGGTTATCCGCGGCGTAGATGGCCTGCTTCATAGCGGCTCGGGCATTGGGGTTGGTGACACCGGCCTCGGTAACATCACCGCACACGTAGATGTGCGGTAGCGAGTCGACGTCGATTTGCATTGTTGGCTTGACCTTGATCCTGCCTGACTTTGCGATTGCCTCGGGAACGAAATCGCTGATGAGCTGAGAAGAAGGTTGCTGGCCAGTGGCGTTCACCTAGACGTCCGAAACTTGTTACAAGGCTACCCAGAAAATGGAGGTTCAAAACTTGGCTCACCATGAAATCGCATTGGACTTTTCGCCCAGAGCGAAGTGTGACGAAACCATCCACGGGTGTTTCGGATGTTGTCCGCTCCCCGAGTATGACTTCAATTCCTAGATCCTTGAGGCCCGCGAGAGCTCCAACCTGCAAATCATGACCAAAGCGGTTCATGACTGCGTCTCTAGAGTGAATCAATGTAACATTCTTGTCCGGGTACTGGTCTTTAGCATCCGTAGCAAGCTCGACGCCTGCAGCGCCCCCGCCAACAACAACAAGATTCTTGGCGGCTTTGATGCGTTGCTGGAAGTTTTGCAGCAGCTTGATTCCTTCAGCTTTGCCTGTTGATCCCACTCTTGACGGCAAAGACATGCCCACGCCCGACCCTGTTGCGATGACCATGTACGAGTATGGAATCTTCTCTCCCGTGCCTTGGATCGTCACCGTATTTTCGGTGATCGTAGAGACGCGATCATGAACCCATCGTACAATCTTCTCCGAGCCCGCTGGCAAATAGGGGCCATAGGGAATGAATGTTTTATGCTCATGTCCCTCGACGACACAGAAGCGAGGCAACGTCCAGGTGAATTGCCAATGATGGTTCGGTTCGACGATGATGAGTCGGTACGGACCGTCTGTAGGAAGGGAGGTTGCGATCACCCTGGCAGCATGATACCCGGCAAAAGAAGCGCCGATGACTACGATGTTGATCGGCTCGCCGTTTTTCGATGCGGGACCGGCGGGGAGTTTCTTGGTGGTGTAAGATCGCGAGAAAAAGTCCGCGTAAAGCCGTAGCGAGTATCCCACAAGCCTCACGAAAAGGACGACCTTCCTGATTTTGTCCATCGTTGAGTCACGGCCAATAACCGGAGTCCGCGGGCTTGTTGGTGGGAAATAGTCAAGGGAGGTGTGGTACAATGATTATTGACAGGATCCGATTAAGCGGATGGTCTCAATACTTATCAGATGCATCTGATTAGATCAAAACAGGAACTGGCCTCGTTTAGTAGCGTGTTGTCATTCGGCGGACGAATCGGCTCTGAATTGACCGATGTCGCATCGGCCGACGCTATCCCCGGAACTGCTCAGATTCAGTTGTTGGTTAGCACGCGAGGCGGATTTAAAAGAGGCAGCTCCTCGGGCTTTTGGTACTGACCTCGGCCTTAACTTGACCTAGAGAGTTTGCAGTGCCGCTGAGCATGAGATAACCAAGTGTTACTCTACCATAACTTCCATCGTCCCTCAAGAGTTCGGGCGCTAAGACAACGTGCTACACTTTTGGGACGGTTGTGAGCGTTTATTACGTACAAACGTTTCCGCTGGAGGAGAATCCCTCGCCCATTTTCGTTCTAAGCTCTAATGGAAAAAAACTGCAGCGTTTTCACCACACCCGGTACGAAGATCCAAAGGCGGCTTAAGCAGCTCCGTGGGCCCGTACGGCCAGCAGGGACGAGATCTTGCCGACGCCGGTGCCCCTGTCCCGGGACAAGGAGCCTAATTTCCACTCCGAGAACCGAGCCAGGGCCATCCAAGCAACGAGTCATGGTTCTCTATGACGGACCTCGCGTGCAAAAGACCCTTTGAAAGGGAGGGAGGGGAGCATTATCAGACAAAATAAACATTAGAGGAGTCGATTGCATTAACCAAATTGGGGAATTTTCAAGCATGCTAGAACGCCGACATCAAATACAAGGTCCCTCCAGTCTTCTCTCAGACATGTACCTCCTGAACCTGCACCTCCACAGCCATGGTACCATTGCTAGTCTTCTTGTCGACACCAATCATATCGGCCACGGGAGCGACCGGGACGCTCTTGACCTCATTGAAGGCAGGGTATCCGGCAGCACGCCACTCCTTGAAAGTCATACCCCCCGCGCAAGCAGGCATCTTGACCATGAGGGGAACGACTGTGTCTTCCGGCTGTCCCATGAGCTCCGCGCTGTGAACAATCGTTTCGTCTAGAGTCTCGTAGCCCATCTTCTCGTAGAGCTTGTATGTGGAAGGGGACGACTCAAAGTACAGAGGGAGACCCAGACTGTCGCTGAGTTCCGCTCCCCACTTACACCAGAGGGCACCGGCCTTTCTGCCCTGGTGCTTGGGATCGACCGCAATAACATGGGAGTCTGGAAAGAGAAAGTCGAGTCAGTCTTTTTCTGCCAGGGTACCCTTTGTAGGTTTCGTCGACTTACAGATGTAGCGGCGGCCGCCAAACAGCTTCTCTCTAGCCTCGTGCAGGGGGTTGAGAACAGCCTCGGCTCGCTCTCTGTCCATGCCTTCGAGCCAGCCAACACCATGGTTCTTGCGCTCCTCTTCGGTACGCTCTCTGAGATAAATGTCGCCCAGGGCCATGCCCACGATCTCGCCAGTCTCGGTGTCGACGCACTTGTAGGTGTACTGGCAGTCGCTGTGATGCCACCAGGCCAACGTGCCAGCGGTGTGTGCCTTGCGGAATTCTTCAGAGTCTACGCCGTTGGGGAAGAGAACTTTGACCATGATCTCTCCCATCTCATCACCAGTGAAGGCACTGAAATATGAATCGTAGACCTTCTGGATGTCGGGAATCAGCGCTGGCAGAATTGCGTAACCCATGTTAACTGATGTTTGAAGCCAATCTAGTTCAATAATGTTTGAGAAATATGGACATGAAGTATGTCAATACGAGTAATGGAAGATGGCAAAGAACGATGATTTGAGTTATCTTTTGGGTTAATAGCTCTGACCGAGGACTGCATCTGGACTTATATATGTTCTCTGTCCCTCCTTGTACGGAGTAATCCATGTATCTATCATCTACCCATAGTCCAACCCGTCCAACCACTCCGATGGAGTACGATAGAGCTTCAAAGTCAACCCCTGCCCTAATCATGCGGAGTCTCCTCCCGACCAACTTACCAAAGGAGGTAAAAATGGTCTGGTCTCGCCCAGACCAAAGAAGCCTCCGGCTCAACCAACCTACGGAGAAGTCTCTGCGATGCGGAACTTCAAGTCTTCGACGTGGACCAGGTTAGTACGGAAACTCCAAAGGGAGATGCCAGTGGGCCAGTCAAGTTGCTAAGTTAGCGAGCACTTCGGCGCGATTCCACCTCGTCCAAAGTCCAGACTCGTTTAGAGTTATCAGATCCGCCATTCTAGCAGCAAAAGTCTGCTCCCGCCCTCGTGTTGGTCCCCCGCTCTGCTACGCCCTAGACCCCTGAGGATGTTCGGCCAAGTGTTGATGGCTGCAACCTTTTTTGCGGACTCTCAGACTCTGTGACTCGATTTCGCCCACCCACCCAAATGGGCGGGACAGCTATGAACTCATGCAGACCCGACATACGAATGAACTAGCAAAAGACCACTGATCCATGGCCAACGTGTCTGTGGGACTGTTCCCCGCCGTGTCGTTGCCAAGCTTTAGACATATAGCTACAAGCAACAGCTGGGCCCAGCGAGTGTAATTCAAGGTACCTCATGTCTTGCCTTGTGCGTGTTGGCATCCACATCATGATATTCAAAAACGATTGGTTCCAAAGCAACCAGACTAGAGTGCAGTCTAAAACTTCCCAAGAGGAACACGAAGAACCCTCAACGGTCTCCAAGTACCTCATAAATGAGAAGTATCACGAATTGCCTCGCTTAGAATTGGTGGCGCAAACGCCACAAATCCAAGTCAAAGTTCCTCGCCGAATTATTCTCTTGCACATGATGCCAAGTCAAGTTATCAGATCCGCTCTGCTACCCCACCACCCTCGTTATCTGATCCATCCGTCCAATCCGGCCTTCGGCATCGTGGAGTCCAGGCAAGGTCCTCTACCGGAGGATCATCTCAGTGTAGACTAGTGGCAACGCTAGACAAGGGAGGTTTTCAGCCCTGGGGTTGCATTTGTCTAACCGAGGGCTAGACATGGGGGGTCCGCAACTTGCAAGAGTCCCTTTGCATCGTGGGAAATGACTTGGCGCCTTCTTTCTTCGGAACAGACCGAGTTACTTCGCATGTGGCAATCGGTTCGTCTCAAGTTGGAGCAAGAATGAGAGCGCGTTCAAGGGGCACCCCTGATGGGCATGGTCTGACTTTTCGCCTAGTCTGGTAAAATCTACCTTTTGACAAGAATCGATCACTTACATTACTAAAGAAGTTTGTAAGTCGCTACTCGCGAAAGTCTTCATTACACATGTAGCTCTTCCTCAGGCCGAATTTGCTTCCGTAGGGCGTAGCTGATGGACGAGAAAAGTGACCGGGAGCCAAGCTGCAGAAGAGAAATGCATGATGGGCTGCGTCTAGACTGATGCGCACACTGCGTGCGATCGGTTATCCTGACATTGACATCTCCGACCCACTAGAGCCTTTAGATGGGGATCCATCTGAAGGACAGAGGATGGAGCAAAACCTTGGTGCAGGGTCACTCATCGCCGGCTGGGCATTGCGGATGCCACACGGCGCAGCTAGAACCAACCTCGCTGTTGGCGAATCCATAGTCACATGTCACCCTGGCGAGGCGGTCTTGTCGACATGGACCGTGGAGAGGGCGGGATAGATTTCCGAGGCTGCTTTCAAGGGGCTGCAAGCAGAGGATCTTTGCAGCACCGACATGACTACATGACCGCGCACCTTGCCCTCCTCGGCGAACAGGAGGCCTGAAGTGAGCATTTGCTTTGGGAGCTGCCAGTCTGCATTACTCAGTGTTGTCTTGACAATGCAAACGTGAGCAGGCATTTGTTGGTGCAGTGCATGTACCTCTCAGGTACTCAATAACACTTACTTGAGAGCAACCAAACTCTGAGTCTATAACTTGGACTTTGGTTATGTACTTTTTTTGCGTAATGTCCTGTCAATTAGCTGACTTGATTGCCACCTTTGTCCACAAACACGAGCCAGCTCACTCCCAGTATGCGCATTTTGTAGATTGGTGACATGCCTATTTGTTTTACCACCTCGTCAAGAATCCAAGACTGAGAACGAGAAGAGTTTGGTAACGCGACATCTTCGCCACGCCAAAAACTAGTTGTTCTTGGCTAGGATACGTACTTCAAAAGACTCATTCCCGTCCAACGTCCTCCGAAGACCGGCTGCAAATGATCGAACAGTGCTAGTGTATCTTCCTCCTCGACTCCAGAGATGTCATCATACACAAGTAGCTTTGATAACACGTCCTTCCCTTCTTGGGCTAGCTTTTCTGCATCCTTTGACATCTTGCCACCATTCTGCGCTTTCAATATTTGGGATAGATGGAACTTGGCTCTCGCGGTCGCAGCATCTGACCAGACACTTTTCCCCGGCTTACCTTCGGCTTTCTGCAAGGCGTTGTTGACCTGCCACCTGGCATTCTATTAGTCAGGACGAGATTTAAATTATACTGAATTAACTTACTCGGCGTCGTTCCATCTTTCTAGATAGGAATACAATGCACCCACAGCATACTGACTTTGTAAAGTGAAGTAGCTGTCTTTACCCTGAAGCCTAATCCTCTCAGCTAGGATAATCTCATGCTGGTCTAGGGAGCCCTTCAAGTCGCCACTCTGCAGCACGATGCAGGCAAGGTCGAACTGAAATCGCAGAACAAGCAACTTGTCGCCAAATACTTGCATGAGTCGAATAGCCCTCTCGGCAAGCAGGATGGCTTCCCCGAAATCGTGCCGATACATACTACAATAAGCCATGTGATGGGCAAGCTTTGCAAAGGAGAAGGGATCCGATTCTTCAGAGGTGATGGTAAGCAGTCGTTCATGACAGCCTTTGTAGATCGACTCGGCAGCTTTGAAGTCGTTGCCCTGGAGCAATGAGTTGGCGTAGTCCGCGAAAGCGTTGATGACTCGGATCCTGTCCACATCGCTGAGCTTGCCTGAAGCTTCCAGCTGCCTTGCACGATTTTGGTTGAAGTCTAGTATCTTCTTCGCCCGCTCACTAATTTCCTTGCGACGGGAAATACCAAGATATTGGAGCAAGAGGTTCATTGTAACGTGGATCTCAGCTCTCAGCTCATCGTGATTCGTTTCCAGTTGGTCGAGGATTCTCTCTGCAGCCAACAGAAGCCGCATGGCGTCATTTCGGAGGAACCTTTGCCACAGGAACACTCCGCCATCCTTGAACAACTCGGCAAGTTCGACGAAAGGTGTCAAAGCGATAACCGTACCCTGATCGGAATAAATCTTCTGGAGGGTCGCAACATGTGGCAAGTATTCCTTGAAATGGCTCCATTTCTGTTGGTCTGGGAAGTCCAAAGAAGGCCGCGGGAGCCGTCGACGGACCAACTCGACAGTCAGTTTGAACAGCTCCTCAGCTTGTCGAGTCTTCTTGTGAAGCTCTCGGGAGATTCTGATCTGCACAGATCGGTGAACGATGTACATCTTTTTGTTGTCTTGTGTCTTCTCAGAGATGAAGTGCTTGGAAATCAACTGACTCAAGATTTTCTCGATCCTGAAGGAACTTAGCCAAAGGATCACAGCAACAATTGGGGCTCGTACCTGAAGGCTTGTAAATATGGCGGCCCACTCTGACCTTTCTCAACGACCAAAAGGTCTTTTGGAACTCCGTCGCTGTCTAAGAAAGACAATATCCGGAGCACCTTGTTTGCATCGCTGCTGAGATCCTCCGTGGAAATTTTCATGATTGTGTCAAGCTTCCCCTTGGTGGTTTTCTGGTCTTCTGGACCAGAGCCTGGATTATTGTCCATCCACCACGAATCCCAGTAGGTGGCAAACTCAGACGGCTTACAATTCATTGCCTTCATGTACCCAGTGATCAGAACAATTACCAATGGCAAGCCGGCTAGAGTTGCCAGATCTCCCGCGGCCTTGTACTCGGGATCTCTCAGGGAGTAACTGGACGGGCGAAGATCCAGGGGAAGCCCGTGAAGCAGAAGTTCCCTTCCCTCCTCCGTTGGCAGCTCCTCGAGTGTCTTCCGATAGTAGTTGATTGGCCTTGATGGTGCTGTGAGCCCTTGGTATCTCGTGGTGATCAGAATACTTCCGGTTGTCGCTGATGTTTTCATTGGCGTGAACCCGTCAATATTTTCCCACTTCTCCACGTTGTCGAGAACCATCAGCCATCGCTTCTTGGTGTTTTCCAAAAACTCACGCCCGATTTTCGTAAGCTCCTCTTGATCAGTGCCAGGTGCTGCTAGGTCTAGTACAAGAGCAATCTGATTGAAGGTTTCTGAAGCACCAACTTGTGTCTCAGCCTGAACCCAGAATATGTACTCGAAAGACTGCTCGTATCTGTATGTGAACTCAGCGGCCAGAGTTGTTTTCCCCATGCCACCCTCGGCACTCAGAACATATACCCGGCCAGGTTCTGATAGTATCTTGTAGAGATTGGCCAGCTCTTTTTCACGTCCTTTGAAACCTTCATCTTTGGGAAAGGTTCTTGTTTCGACAAGTGGAAACCTCTGTGTCGAGTCAGTGTCAGATCGAGGTCGATGAAGGATTCGTCCTGAGCTTTGTTCGACATGGCGGCTCGGACGAGTGCCATCACTCATCAACTCCTGCACTCTCCAAGCACCCGAGGAACCGGGTAATTGACCCCCAGCTGCCCTAGAGTAGTCCGATAACGGTTCGTCCTCGTCCGAAACATCAGCGATATCGTTTTCATCGATGTTTTCGGCCGGTTTTGGACGTTGTCCGAAGTGTGCGCCTTGCTCTTCAGCAAAGGCATGCAGCATCCGTATTTTAGTTTCCCTCTCGGACATGGTGTCGCTAGCGCTTTGAGACATGATATCATCGCTGTCATCTTCTTCCGTAGGCTCCTCCCCACACACAGCTGTCAAAGCCAATTGCTCCAAGTGCCCTGCTATGTGCTCCTTCATCTGTGCCGGGTCCAACGGACACGGACACAGTGGGCATCTTTCTCGCGAGAATGGCTCGCGAGAATGAATCGGCCTTAGGAACGACACCATTTGAGTCGCTTCATCCGGTGAGAAGTCAGTTGAGTGTGAGTTCAAGAAATGTTGTTTCAAGTCTGACTTGGTCTTGAATTCCTTCTGACAAGGCTCGCAATTCCACACCTGCGGTATAAGATGACACTGTAGCTCGTGATGGTACCACTCGTCCCGCGTACCGTATGCTTTGCGGCTCCTGTCGCATTGATCGAAAGTGCAGACATAAGCGAGTAAATCTTCAAACACATGAGCTTGCCAATCTTCAGTGGTTGTCAACTCATTGTATAGATTAACCTCAAAACAGCAATACGGACAGGTGAATGGCTGACCATCCAAGGATCTAGGCGGTAATGGTACTTCTCGATGATCGGGCCCCTGTATAAAAGGTGGTGGACCTGGCTTCCGAGCCGTGGACTGCGCGTAAGAAGTGAAGGATGCTGCGCGAGAGAAATGGGGGCGAGAGAGGAGGGGTGGTGCAACGGAAACCTCTGCATGTGAAGAAGAGCTGTGGTTCGAGGCAAAGATAGAGTCGTGCTTGTGCGGTCTTTCCGGAGTCTCTTCAATTCGAGGGACCGAGGCTTTCGTGTGATCGCTGCCGCCCTTGAGGGCTGGCTGCTGGAAGTTGAATACGTCAACAGCGACATCACGCCGGGGGCCCTGCCGAAGACCAAGTTTAGGGACCTTGGCCCTAGTGCTCATACCAATAGCCCTTCTCTCCCGCACAACACCCAGAGATTGTTGTCGTATCCAGTTGGCTCGTCCAAGTCTTTCAATCAAAACTTTTGATGCTCCAGGAAACATTGATCTTGTCAACTCTACATGGTAACGCGATGGATTCTCTAGTCGGTCGCTGGAAGCATTCAAGCTTCCAGAGCCGCCATTTAGGTCGTCTGGATAAGCCTCTCTCAGGGCAGGATTGAGAGACTTGAGCTGCTCCAGCGTCTCCTCAGCACAAAGTAAAACCTCTTGGATTTCGACAGCTATGCGTGTGCCTTCGGTCTGCTGCAGTGGGCTTTGTAGACCCAAATCATCGTCAAAAGGATGGTCAGCCAACTCTGTTTCGTTCCGTTGGTAGGTTATGTACTGGAGAGCTTCAATGTCTACCAGTAGATATAATGAGTCAGCAATCTGGATCAAATGCAGATAAGCCCGAGGTCAGTGTAGTAAGTGGTAATTACCTTGTCTAAGTTCATCTTGAAAGACATTCAATAGCACAAGAACCTGGTCACGAAGCCTTTGATTCAGCCGTAGACTTCGGTCCAGATAGTAACTGGAGGCCCCGATGTCATTGCCCCAGGTTTGGAATGATGTCAAAACTTGATCGGAAATATCAAGTTCAATCTCAGGGTGGTTTCTCTTGAGATTTTCGCAAATCGTACAGACGCTTTGTAAAGTTTCACGACACTCTTCGAACTTGGCTGCTATTAGAGTCTTTTCGCCGAAAGCTGATTTCCGGTCTTTCCCAGAACGTGTGGTAGCATAGACTGTCGATGAGGGACGAGGATACATCATGTGACTGGGAACTATCCAGGTCAGCACAGAGATCGACTTAATAGCGTCCGAAGCTTTGAAGTTTGAAAGACCTTGGACAAGATCAGCGTATGGATAGGGTGCCGATTGAAGAACAAATGATGCTAGTGCGTTCGCCTTGTTAAGTGTAGAGGCGGTCATGCTAACTATCTTAATTACCTTTGTGTGCCTTGGACCAACCAAGCTCTGGATCACAGATGGTGTGCAGGGCGGACTGCTGACGTCCTTCAATAAAAAGGTACCGTGATTTATACACAACACAGAGCGCAATGCGAGTCTAGCCGAATGAAATCAAACATTAGACGTACTGTGTCCCAAACACCCTCCTGCGATATGGCACGAAAGACGAATTGGGCTTGGACGCAGTAAGCATGCCAGGCAACTGCAGGACTCAACCCCAGAACTTATCGGCGAAGCCTCAAATGTGCAAACCCCGCTTGTTCATTCATGCTTGAACACTATCGGAAATGATGCTGACTTGCAGGGGGCAGGAGACAACTGCTGTGAGCCGAAGTGATGGCTCCGAATTCAACTTCAGTCGCCGAATCAAGGCTGCGTGGCTTGGATTCGGACCGTGTGATGAGGTACCCCGCTCCTTGAGTCCTCGTCACCGAACGCCTCCTAGAGAATTAGGGTGGGTGTGCTGTGCTACCATATGCTAAGGTTCGAGCAGGCTGCGCTTGGCAGGCCCTTTCCTTTTTTTTCTTAATTTCCAGCTAGGACATTTGATCTCGATAATCCTGTACGAAATATGGTACTCATAGTCATCACTCTTCTTCCACGCCACATCCCATAATTCCACCGTCGCCAACTCGAATTTCGAATACAAGATGTCAGGCTTTGAAGCGGTCGGGCTGGTTCTGGGTCTATGGCCCATTATCGCAAGTCTTGTCAAAGGGTACAAGGCAACTAAGGATGGAGATGACCGGGAATCATTCCTTCTCAAGGTTGATGTCCAGCAGATCATTTACGAACGCTGTGTGAGACAGCTCATCGGAGAAAATGAGGAAGGCATTGACCTCAACTTCAAGAATGCGGAAATGAGGCAACTCGGCATCTCATTTTGGCAACGACCGTCCTTCCGAGTGAAGCTCCACGACCGTCTTGGTGCGAGAGACTTTGAGTTGATGGAGTCTGTGTTAAAGCAGATCGAAAAGACGATGGAAAGCCTACGTAGCCAACTTGAAAGTGGCCAAGCAGATCTTGTGAGCTAGTGCAACATCTCCATTGAGTACAATCATCCTGACTAAGGTACTGGTTAGACCTCGACAGGCACGAGGCGACGCCGAATGAGGCATCACTTTCGTCAGATGAGAATCAACATGCCGCACTCGGAATTTCAGAACTCATTCGAAAAGCTAAAAGAACACAACAAGGATTTACAGCAGCTCGTTCAGGTCTTCGAACAGCCTCAAAACATGTCCAAATGGAAATCTCCAACATCAGTCAGGCAGCGACGAGCTTCAACCATGATGAGAACGAGACGCGTGGCACCAAAACAGATAAATGAATTCTCCCGGGTTCTCGAAGAGAGCTATCATTGTACCTGTAGCGGTGGACACGATGCGGGTCTCAACATCAATAGAGACGCTCAGTTTCAAGTGCAGTTCCATGTCCATGATGAAATCGGAATGTCCTTTTCGGGAGCCTCCCTAGAGTCCCAACCTCCTACAACATCGGAAATTTCAGCCATCAACATGGGAACTGAAGATGACTTGGATAAATCGGGACGGTGTATAGCGCCGGAGATTGTAGGTACACCTGAGCGGACGGGGTTCAATAGAAGTCCAGGGTGAGCATCTGGTTAGTCCCTCTTGGTCGTCTCTAGAGCTGACAGTATAGAAGACAGGACGATGATAGGACATCATGGTCTCGATCTCGATCTCGTCATAATAGCACTAGTAGTGTATCTTACAAAAGAAGAACCACTCGAGCACTCCCAATCATATTCTACCGGTCACTCTCCGAATCTAACGATGATGGGAGGCATATTGACGATATGTGTGATCTAGTGAAGACTCTAGATAAGAACGATGCGAACACTCGGAGATCGTATCAAACAGTTGGTACACTTGGCCACGGCGATAGACATTTTGTAGCTCGCCATATAGAGCCAGCAATAACAGACAACCATGTGATATCACTCGACGAGAAGCTCCCAGAAACCGAGGATTGGCTGCTGCCCCTCCAGAAGCGTGCCGATATTGCACAGAGGCTTGCTCTAGCTATTGTGCAGTTTTGGTCAACACCTTGGATTGACAGGTGGTGGACATGGAGGGACTTCTCGGTCAAAGACGATAATTCCAGGGAAGTCCAACTATTCGTGAAACGCACCATCTTTGCGCCAACTTCCGAGGGAAGTTCAACCGGAAAGCCAGCAAGAATCTGGCGATTTCTTCGAGAACCACTACTTGTTCGACTAGGCTTTGCATTGATCGAGTTGGCGCTAGGCATGAGACTATCTCGATGGAGAGAATTACATAAGTATTGCAGCACAACTGGTGAGGGACTTGGAGAGGATAGTCTGGATGAGAGAGACTATGATACCGCTCTGACTATTCTTGGGCGGAAGATATTGCAGGAGGAGATCAGTGTGGCATATCAAGCTGTAGTAGAGGCATGCCTGAAGTGCGAAGTCATTCGGGAAACAGGTGCGATTTCTCTCACAACGGCCGCGAATTCTTTCTCCGAAGATGTAGAGCGCGAGATCTTGCAGCCGCTCTCGGACTACTTCGAAACTAATTGGGGAGATATGAAGTTAGATTAGGACAACTGTCTGAGCAGGCCAGTAATCGCCGTCAGTCCCATTAAACCAAGACACGCATTTCAATGCTTTCTCTTCTAAAGTCCTCCTTGCTTGTGATGGGATTGTCGAAAGAAGGAACCTAAGGAGTCGCCCCCAGGGGCTCATGCGAGTCAGCTTTCTTGCAGATTATCAATTCTGTCGGCAACTGGGTTGATAGGTAGAACCATCTTTGTCCCTCGTTGAAATGGACCTGGACATTCTCAAAAACGTGGTCACGATCGACGACGTCGCCCACCGTCGTATCCGGTGCGAAGTCGACGGTCTGGGCATCGCATAATGCAAGAGGCTAATCGACTAAAGGCCCTTGAAGAGGATGCCACACGCTTGCAAGCCACCGTTGTCAGCCCAATTACAACATTATGTAGGTGGTTCCACATGATGAATGTGCAGAAGCAAACGTGGCAGAGTCTCGGGGCAACCGAGTTGATGTCAAGTACGCTTCGGGAGCCACGGAAGCTAGTGAAACGCTGGACAAGGCCTGCACATCGAGGCTTGCGGGGGTGTTGTGTTGGGAACAGGAGCACAGGATTAAAACTTACTTGACGCATTACCGGCGTCGCGCCAATATTGCATCTGCCTCGCCGTCAAAGATTTTGTGGATGATGGCCTTGCCACCTTCGTAGGTGTGATCTGTGTGAAGTAATGTCAATATGGCTTTGGGGCGGGGTACTCAAGACGAGAGCTCACCAATATGCGCCCTCGAAGCAGGCTGATTAGAGGCGTACGGACGTCCTGTTGCAATTGGCCAGTTCGGATCTCGCCGGCGCACCTACGTTGTATATGAGCACGCGTAAGCCAGAGCCTGCTTCACTAGTCTATCAACATTCCAGACTAAAGAGGAGTACTGACCACGTAGTCAAGCAAATTAACTGACGTGACCCCTAAAGCCAGTTTCACCGCAACCATGACTTTGGGAGCATGAATTTTCTCGATCTTACCTGTGTATGCGTAGTCGTCATACTGCGGGATGGATGAGCAGTTGGTCACTGTGAAGCCACACTCGTTATAGTCCAAGGACTAAAGGCGGAGATCATGAAAATCGACTTCATGTTGGACTCTGTCGATGTTGGTCTGAGAAAGGTCGTCTGTAGGGCTTGGGATATATCGAAGCGTGTAAAGCTTTTCGTGTTCGTATTTTGGGTCACGCGCTAGGAAATGCACTTGCGGTGTCAAGTGTGAAGGTGAAGGCGACGCCATTTCGACTGAGGTTGTAGAATGTGGGAGGCTAACTTCGATTACTCAAACTGACTAGCTCCAATGGTGACATTAAAAATGGTGACATTGAACGGGACAGGATTTTATTGAAACTGACGTAGAAGCCATTCTTCCGACTTCGGGCGACTGAGGACACGCACGTCGTCTCTCTTGCGCGCGCTGTGTGGTATCTTGACAGAATATGCATGTGGTTCCGAAACCTGATGAGACTTGCAGCTCACCGGGCCAGCATATGTTGCTTATGTGTTACGGTCCGTCAATTTCTGACGTACACCAAAATGTTTTCGTGATCGTTAACGTACTCACTTCTAGCTGGTTTCTGCTTTCCGTGTGCTGTTCGTGCAAGCCCACATTTGAACTCAGAATGGCCTTTGTAAGAATGACCGAAACAAAACGCAGCTTATCTAGCTCAAAATATCAGTGTCCCCAGGAAAGTTTGGTCTTTAGAAATGATTGACTTAACTCATGACAACTATGTGTGGCCGTTGATCGGTTAGCCGGTTTGGGCACAAGCTGTTTGGTGTTTTCGAAAGACCACACCGATGAAAGAAACATTGATGGTATCGTGGATTTCCTGACGCAATTATGTACACGGAGCGCAGCTGATTCAATAACCAGGGTTACCAATCAAGGTGTTATTCGTCAGGCGTAATTTTTCACCGGGAACACTATGAATCTTTATCTCTGACCGCCACTGCTCGGAAGTAAGGTAGCCCAAGCCAAGCGGTGTAGATTATTCTCGAGTACCTGTAGAATGTTAATAAAGTTTTAGGCCCTTAGCCTTCGGTTGACATACTAGCTAAAATCGCGCTTGCCACCCTCGCGTTAGTTGGGTTCTGACTAGCAAAATTATTTTCCCAAATTCACCCCATCTCAAATTTCGCAAACATCATATTTATCTTTAAGACAAATATCGTCTCAAACTGTAGTCAAAGCTTCGAGCCAGACATATTCAACCTTCTCTAACGATTTCAAAAAACGACGTTGCTTTATCTTGGAATTAATCCAGATGAGTTGAATAAAAGGCTTGATTCGAGCATTTCACAGTATTCTTTACATTTATTAAATATTAAAGCCGCTTTTAAGATTTTCTTTTACCGGTTTAACTGTGAAGATGATCCGAAGTTAACAAATTTCATAATAACGCTACATTGACCAAAATGTTACCAGATCCTCGAAATGAGACTCTCTTAATGCTCCTGGCAGTATTCGCGTTGACGGGACAAGCTGCCTATACATCAAATGAGCCTTTTCTAGTAATTCTATGTCCTCCTCATGCGATGTGTCCTCATTTTGATCATCAAAGAGCTTCATCATGTAGAGAATTTTTGCTTTCATGAAGGTGGACCGCGCGATCTCGGGCACATGCGCGCCTTCGTTGGCGTCGTAGGCAACAAGAGCTTGATCAATTAAAGTCCTAAATATTCCAGATTTGAATCAGCTTCTATAGTTGCAGGGTTCGCATGCCACTTACATGGCAATTTTGAGTGATAATTTATCACCCCGACGAACAGAATGTTGTGCTAGCTTATAGCACATGTCGGCCGTTCGATGATACTTGCTGCCAACAGCCCCCTGATATGTCTTGAGGGCATCTCTGTGAAATTGCTCACTCTCTTCCACGCGGCCTTGGCTGAGTCTGACGTTTCCGAGTGCGTGAAGTACTCTTCCTGGCCTATAATAATCTGTCAGGGGGCATTTAAGAACTTGGGAGTCAAACGGGGTTACCTGAAAGAAACCATGCTCAATTTCCCAAGGCCTTCTTCGCTTTCTCTTTGTCCTTCCTCAAGGACCTCAGCAGCTTCACCTATTCTCCCTTGAAGCCATAGACTCATACCAAAGTTGGCGTATTCCATTAAGGCTAGACCTTTCCGATAGCCTGGCACCCTATGCCAGATGTCCAATGCTTGCCGGAACATTTGACCACCTTCTTCAAACTTCTTGAACATCATCAAGGAACATCCCATCTGATTGTATGCGTACCCTAGTTGGAAGTTTTCCTTGCCCGTTTTGCCGGAGATCTCCTTTCGGATTATCAGCTGCTTAGAGTTGAACTTCTCTGATTCTTCAGGGCGATTAGTCCCATTCGCAACGCATCCCATGACGTCGCACACAAGAGCAGATAGATCGAGCCATCTCTCAACACCCTCGTACTTGTCGCACAACAGAAGTATCTTTGCGGCTGTTTCACGCGCTTTGAGGAAGTTGCCGCGCTCGTATAGCCACCTAAATTGATATTCGTGAGCGCATAAACATGAAAGACTTTGAAAAAGTAACGAATAAGACTAGAGCTTCCCAAACCCCTTTGAAGACATACCAGGCTGTTTCTTGCAGAATTGTGCCGAGGTCAAACTCGGTGTCTTCAAAAGATTCAACTTGAGGCATGAGAAGAGACTTCTCTGTTTCGTACATGTAATGTAAAGAATTGACATGATCACTGAGCACTTCCCGTGATACAGGCCCCTGTCTCCTCGCATGCCTTTGCTCAAATGGTAACATCGGCCATGTGCTGCGGATAAGTTTTACCGCGATGGAGAAAACCTTGGCTAATTGTTCCGGATTCTTGGATAAATTGGCTCTGATAACCTGTTGAGGTACCCGATGCATCGATAGGTGTGTCGCGGTGCAATCGTTGTTCTCTCGGATGATTGAAGCATAAAGGAGCGTAGCTCTTGCCTTGAAGTAGTCGTTGCGATTCATTGGTGAGTGGCCCCCAAAGATATCGTCTGAGGACAGGTTATCGAAGATGGACCCTTCAATGTGGTCAGGGTGAAAGCAAGAAATGATGGCAGCAAGGAGTTGTGGCTCAGCACCTAAGCCATCCATCGTGAACAAGGATGAAAGGTTGCCGCGAGAATTCTTGTTGATTTGGACCTCAAAAAGATTTCCCCGATCAGTATGATCGTCCAATCGCTGCTTCAGGACAGAGAATGAAAGAAACTGTTGCTTCGCGATGCCCGCCATTTGAGCTAGAGCGAGAGGAAGCCCATCCAGTTGATGATGTAGCTGGCGTCCGGTATTGTGATCTTTGGGGGACCTGATCAGGCCTTTGGACGTCTTTTTCAAGAACTCCAGGGATTCCTCCTCTGAAAAAGGAGGCAGCGGTATCGGGACAACATTACCAGGAAGATCACAGGCTAGAGGGTTTCTCGACGTTACGAGAATCGACCCTGGCCCGTCTACATCAATATAGTCGTCCAGAATTTGAGGGTCATCTGCGTTGTCGAATACCAAGAGCCATTTGGGGGACAAGACGTGATCATCTCTGCCGCCAATTGTCCAAGTTGGTTTAGCGAGCCATGAGTGGATAAGTTCTTTGGCTGATGTCGGGTTGCTGGGCTCGTTCTCCGGGACAAGGCGAATTCGAGTGGCTATCTTACAAAAGTCAAGTTCCAGCTTCTCGGAACTTTCAGCACATATCCAGAAGATGGCATCGAAATTCTGCTTGCGGGTGGATACATATTGCGATGCAAGCTGGGTCTTCCCAAGGCCGGCTACACCGAAAACCGCTGCTATGGTTGGTGTTTGGCTTTGTGTTGCCGGTGAGTTGCTCCTTATGCTGGCTGGTAATAACGCGGCATCAATCTTGTCCATGATGTCTACGCGGCCGAGGAAGTCTCTATTCAGGGACAATTGCTCCATCATATGACAGGGAAGCGCGAGTTCCACGGTCGACCTAGAAAACCCACGGAAAATTGACTCCATGCTCGACGCATCCGGTGTCGGCAGTGATACCTGGGTCGTAGCGTCGTCATCTAAAGATGTTGCGCCAAAGGCTATGATCTATGAGCCAGAGCACAGGGAGAAAGTGATGGGTCATGTAATCACCTTGCTGCAGGGCATATACAGAGGGTTTCTGCTCCGCTCCAATACTATTCCGTGGGCTTTGGATTGGAGCATTGGATGAAAGCTGTGCTGTAGAGCTGATAGTCAGTAAGTTATCATGGTGAAAAGACATTTTTAGCCAACCATACATCCCGTAGTATTTTCGTTAGCCCGGACGACTGCCTTGATCCTTTGACGGAGCCATGCCCGGACTTCCCAATTCGGAGTTCCGCACTCAAGAAGATAACAAGCCTGAAAATGATCTGCATCTATGCCCACTAGCTTCTCAACAGTAGCGTCCGTTCTGGCCAGCTGTGAGTTGACGATCTTTCAAACAATTAGTGAGAGAGCCACAAATTCGAAAGTCTTCGGGGCATTACAGTCTGTTGTTTGTTGTGAATGAAGGATCTCTTGATGGTGGGCCGACCTTCGTAGATACTGAGGATAGGGAAGCTGAATTGGCAGCTGGTGAACATGTTATTGACGTGCAAGATGTTCTCTTCCCAATTCCTCATCTCTAGAAACTTCCTGATCGACCTGCCTTGAAGACATTGTCGAAGCAGGTAAGAGCAATTATTCTTGAGTGTTTCACGATGACTCGGATCAACACCATGCGGACAACCCACAAAGACAATACCGGTCACAAGACTAATTGTGTTCGGTCCACTGCTTTCAACTCTATGACTTAGTCGTGATAATGCCTATTGGTGACTTCCTATGAGTGATATTCCACACAATCATAAAGTAGGAAAGAAACCGGAATGGCTGACATGTTTCAATGCAATACCACCTAAGCTATGCGTCACGAAGATGATGGGTATCTGTGCGAAATATTGAGTATTAGCAAAAGACACGAGAGATATCGCTCGAAGAATTGGTGCCCACCGGCCTTTCTTTTGCCAGCTTGTCCAGGACTTTGCTCAGTTCGTTTCCAGTATCTATTAGTTGCTGAACGCTGAATCTGGTCTCATCGCTGACAGTCGGATAATGCCCCGAGACATCAATGTGGTTACCGTCGATTGAAAGCTCCTCGCTCCAGACCCCTTTGAGAAACCCCCAATCCTCCACCGGGGGCGACGTTCCCACGCCAGGAACCAGGATGATTCTTCATCACGTTAGTGTGAAAGGTGTGAGACATAGAAGAATTGAGACCTACCGGAGCTTCGCGTCTGGCTTGGCCGTTGTTCCGGCTTTGGGAACCACAGAAATCGCCATCAGAGGGCCTTGTTTCCATTCACGGTAGGTTGGTGACTCGGGGAAGAGCGTGTTGCTTTCGGATGCCGCTGGGAATGCTTCTTCCGGGACTGAAATCAATTGTGGCTTATTGTTTCTTGCTCGGGAAACGTGTCGACCCCTCATTTCTGTTGTGTTGCGTGAGCGATAGCCCTGGAAAATAGCCTATCAGACTGCCTTGTGGTTCATACATAGGTGTGCTTACGTTTGTACTCTTGCCGTATGCCGCATGATTGATGGCTTTTCCATCATACACACCACTAACACTCCGATCTTAAGACAGACATCATCATCAAAGCAGCAGGCTGGGCCGTTTAAGACGGTTGGTGCGGGGCAGTTTATCCCAGTGTGTATCTGCATAAGGTAGTATGTCACATTGGCAGGGACGTCTCGTTGCACAAAAGCCGTGAAAAACCCGGGCGTGGTGTTCTATTGGCTCTGCACAGTTGCGATGTTGGGCAAAGTGCTCGCCCCCGTCAACAGCAAACAAATAGAGCGATTGCCCGCCAGAGGATTTCAGGCAATCGAGGCAGCACCTTGTGCTTCTGAATCGGCACACCAGGCTCCCATCTACCATGTCGGACAACTCCCCTACCAGCGACTCCAAGTCTCAGGATCTTCTTTACCCTACTCCAAAGCAGCATGAAGACCAGCAAGCATCAACAAGCAACAACCCACAATCATGGCCTAGATTGCGGAAATGGCCCATTGTGGGCCTAGCAGCATACTGCGAATGTCTCACGTATGTCTCTTGTTAAAGAACCATTCAATGCCGAAAGGTAGGCTGTTCGGTGGACTGACCAAAGTTCAGATTCCTTGTCTCGATGATGCTGGCACCCAGCGTCCCGCAAGTCCTGGAGACCTTTCGGCCAGAAGGGAGTGGTAAGGCTCTGGGCTCCTTCTGTGTTACAGTCTACATTCTTGGGTTTATCGTCGGACCCCTCATTTTGGCGCCGCTTACCGACCATTACGGGCGTGTCGGCATATATCGCCTGTATATCATTGCTTATCTTGGTTGGACGGTGGCGTGCGCCCGCAGCAACAGCCTGGAAAGCCTGATCACTTTTCGTTTCCTGGCAGGCTGCTTCGGTGGCGCTCCTATGGCGATAGGGCGAGCTGTGGTTGCAGACCTTTACGGGCCGGGAGAAAGGCCTGGGCCGATGGCTTTCTACTCTTTCGGAACCATCATGGGCCCAACCCTTGGCCCCGTGCTAGGTGGTATAGTTAATGGAAATCTTGGTTGGAGGTGGGTATTCTGGCTGGCTGCCATCTTGGTATGATCCGTCTCCATTTATCCGTGCCGTGCCGCAATCACTGACGTGGCAATGACAGGCTGCTGTTGCTGCAGTTGGCTTGTTATTTTGGTTACCAGAGACTCATCAACCAACAATCGAACGCTTGTTGACGTCAGAACCGCATGAGTCTCACCGGAATCAACATCACCATGTCAGAGGACTCTTAGCGAGGCTGCCTTCTTTCGATAACCTCCGCCGAAGTCTGTGCAGTGCATGGCTTCTCCCACTCAAAGTCGCGAGCCACTTGACTTGCCTGGTACCCCTCCTCATGATCTGCGTTTTCAATGGAACTGTCAACATGATCTTGTCGTCTCTGGGCACTGTTTACCAAAACCAATTTGGATTTCCAGCTTTAACCGTGGGTTTATCATACTTGGGAATAGGATTTGGGGGGATCAGTGCACTAGCATTATCAAAAAAGTTGATGCAGTTCGTTGCGACGAAATTTCCGGAGGATGAAGACAGGAAGCATGCCAGTCTCTTACTTTTAGCATCGGGGGCACTTCTGCTTCCAGCGTTAGGCCTTTTATGGTATGGATGGTCCGTCGCAACACACACACCTTGGATCGTACCCATCATTGGACTATATTTCTTCGGCTTTGGCTACATGGCTGTGCAGGTAAGGAAGCCTGTATATTGCTAGTGTTTTAATGCTGACGAATGTCTTAACAGCTCTCGCTACTTATCTTCGTCGTTGAGTCCGTACCGGGCTTTTCAGGCTCTGCAGGCGCCGCTTTCACTGTCGCCTCATCTATAGGGGGGTCCATCATTCCTTTGTCAACCTTCCCAATTTACGAGAAGGTTGGTTATGGATGGGGGAATACGATTATTGCTGGTATTGAGATACTGCTTTGTGCTGCTTCAATGACTATGTACTTGTGGACGAGGAAAGCTGGTGCCCAGTTGCCTTTAAAGGTCCATATACATAGATAGCAAAGATGTCCGAAATACAGTAAGCCTATAGGTTTTTCCTCTGCCTTCGCTGTGACTTTTCTAAACGTCACTCTGGTTCTGTTGTACGGCTCTTAACCTTCGCCAAGCTACGACCATCATCTGGCGATGGAAAGACCATCGAAGCATCAGATAGGCGAGAAGGAGAGATGCCGCAGCAATGCCTATCCAAATACCAAGCTTCGCATAGCTACCTTCATTCAACTCTTGTAGATTCATGCCAAATATCGATGTTGAGAATGAAAGTGGTAAAAAGAAGAAACCAAGGGTCGACAATTTCCGCACGGTTTCTCCCTGGTAGATGGTTCTTTGAGAATCATCAATCATAGCCGCATTTGCCAGCATCGAGGTACTTTGCAAGTAATCCTCACTCAGCCTGATAGCCCGGCGCTTCATCTTTTGGTAGTCGCGTTCAATCAGCCGATGTGACATGTCGGCTTTCCTCAACCCACTCTCCGATTTGGCCGTGGTCCAATTATTACTGTCTTTCGCCTCCAGAAATTCGCATATTTCTTCCAGGCTTTGCACATGTCGATCGAGGATCTGCTTGTTGTGCACCAAATTCCACATTGTCAGTCTTTTGTCGAACTCTGTCTCGGCAAGAACTGCGGGCTGCATGTCCTCTTCGAGAAGATGCTGCAACTTGTCCAGAAATTGCGCTTCGGAAGCCACTGCAAATCTGAAAATACCGCTCAGGCTGTAATAAGTATCCTCTAGCATTGTATCGCAATCAAGAAGTGTGTCGAAGGCCTCATGTAATAGCTTGAAAGTTGCTGGCTGTGTTATAAAGCTTTCATCGTCGTCTGTTTGTTGATAGCATGGTCGCGAGCCTCCCAAAGTCTTGTCGTCGGCGAAAAAAATCCCAGGTCGATGTTGTGTCGTAGCCCAATACCTAACAGGCATGCCTGTGTATTCCAAAAGCTTCGAGTTCCAGGGACCTTTGTCATCAGGTCCAAACCCACTTCCGAAGTCTAGCCAAACGACCGCTGGCCCAAGTCAGATGCTGCCGCTATAGCCAAGGAAGGTACATTTGATAATACTTACCAGTCCAATGTTTGGAATCGTTCTGCCTGTCCGTCACACAAATTGATATCGTCTGTTCCAATGAAACATGCTGGCGATCAAGCACAAAGAAGTTTCTAGCCATTGACATTCCATGCTCAAGTTCAGGCCCATATCGGTCCCAGCTCTTAAGATATTGCTTCATAAGACTGGAAATCTGCTCTCGTAGACTTGAAAGCCTTCTTTGTTCTTCTTGTTCCGATCGCTTGATGTTGTTGTGAGCGAATCGTGTACCCAGCGTTGTAAGTTTCAACTGCATCATTTGGGTCTTGGATGACGGTAAAGACGCATCTGAATACTGTTGTTCCTGAGAAAAGGGGCTCGCGGCAGAGAAATGAAGATGTCGACGGTAGAACTCTGGCTCGAGAGAAAGCTTATGCCCAATGACATTCAGCCATCGTGCCGGCTGATAGCCCCTTAAAAACACGATGGTGCCACCAACGCGGCAGGAGTTTATTTGGTCTAAGGACGTTTCGAGCTCTTCTAGAGTTCTCACATCGTGTCTAATGGGGCTGCTAGCCCCTGGGACATATGTCCGCAGGTGAACGAAGGCATCGCCGTTAGGTGCATTTTCAACATATTCCACAGATTGTTGGTCTTCCCCGGATGGGTGATAGGGCGCCCCCAAGAATGACGACAGCGGGCCGAGAGTGCTGAAAGTGTAGAACGAGTTTCCGCTATGTTTTCTGGACTTGAAATCGATTCGCTGTGCGTACACTTGCTCCTCAGATGCCCTTGCTGATACAATGTTAATCCTGCACTTGGATATTTCATAATGGGGGGATGTCATTCACCTCGGATGAGACTCGGCCGAGCCGCTGTCGAAAAGGTCGGCTTTTCTTCCATTCTACAGAATATAAGAATTGAACCACTGGAAGAACATGGGAGGTAGTTGCCGAGATTTCGTGCTACACTCCGTAACTTCTTGGTACTGAGAGTTGAGAGCTAGGACGAGCTACATGCCCTTGGTTCATAGGCGCTGCCATATTGTTGTCCGGGATAATGCGTTTATAAAGGCAAGAAGAACCGACAGAGGTTTACAAGCAGATCCAAATGTGTCTGCCTGCAGCACGCAGCCTGCTTAGTTAGGGCGGCCTCCCAAGGCGAAACGCCGCGGAAGCGCCAACCGGAGCTCCAACTCTCCAACATGGTCACCAGTGCGGTTTAGATAAGAGAGTGTGGTTACACAAATGTCGAGGTTGTACAAGGATTACTTTTCAGCGTCAAAATCGGACCAGAGACCCTGGTCTAGAATTTGAGGAGCTATTTTTGGCTGGTACAAATTTCGGTGGCTTGGTGAGAAGCCATGCTTTGCATCCCGAGGCATGGACATGTCACGTAATACTGTAGCCTTAATTTTCGTAAAACATGCTAGTGCAGAATGCATGTGGATTTGCCTTGACCATTGGAGATTGCCGTTCAACCCCGATCACTCTAGGATCAAACAATATAGGTGGATCCGGCTCTCCGTCCTTCGTCTAAAGTCGTTGGCGACGGTCCGACGATTTTATGGGGACGGCCCGATACGGCCCACTTCATGAAGCCGGCTCGCATTATGGTTCAAGAAAATCCGCGCTCCCATTTGACCCATGTTTCCGATACATGTGAGAACTTTCACCTAGAACTGAATCTAAGGAGTTTTGGTTATTGGGAAAAGGGCATAGAACGTAGAATACACCATTCGTACAGGCTAAAGCCCAGTGATCATCATTCCTCTAGCAGGCGCCTGCTTCTTTTAAAAACCCGTCTGCTTCCCATTGGTGAAGAGCCACTTCTTCCGCACAACTTTGAACTCAAATGGAAGACGAATAGCATGCGTGTCTTGAGCTCCAGATTCTACATGTGAGCGAAGAATTTGCGGAAAAAGTGAAGCAACATAAAATACCTAGACACGAACTCCACCGGGACCGGCATCCAAGGGAGGATGGCAAGTGTCGGGTCCTGGCTTCAATCATCCTCTGCCTTCTTTGAAGCGCCAGTAAAGAAGGCAATAAGTATCATCTAGGCTCCCCACATACAGATGAGGCTCATAGTTGCATATATAATGACTGCGCTTTGGCAACTTTCTTAAGCCATTTTGCCTGCCACATTTTGCGGTTGTTGCACTGATAAAAGCAAAGGATAACGCTGAGACATAGGTCGAAAAGCGCTGAGAACCCACACGATTGCAGCCATTGTGAATATGGCAGCTCCGACAGAGATCTGCGTTAGGTGGATCTGTGGCAGACATTGAAGACAACTTCGGTGTGTCAGCAGTCGACTTGGGCATTGTTGGTGCAGAGAACCCATACTGAGGTGTGGATAAGAAAGACACTGACCTGGATAGCGCCTTTCATCCAGCTACGACGTTTCGAATCTAGTATGAGTGGTAGCATTGCGGCCAGCGTACAGAAACTGAGCCTGAGACGATGAGTTGTAAGGATGAGCTATACTCGTAGACGCTGGGTCTTACTTGGCTGTAGATGACAATAGCCTGGATTCCGACAAAGAGAGATGTTGCGGCCATAAACAAGTCATATTTCGTGCCTTCCATTGCCTCGTAATCGCGATCAAAGAGTCCTGATTTACCGTTAGATTGCGATGCATGAAGCATGTCGACCGAGCTGGATGATGTTTTGTCGCGCTTGGCGAAAGCTGGAAGAGCAAAAGCACAGTAAACGGCGAGTAAAATACACTCAATGCCGTAAAAATCAAGAAACTGCCAGATTTGATGATTATTATTGCGTAACAGAGTTGTTCAGTCATATGTATACCCCATAGCCTGCGAGGCCACTATCAATCTCGGACCTTATTGACTGGCACATCGAATTGTGGCATAACCTTTTGTTGATCACTTGACTGGACAACTCAAATCCGTTTGAGCGTACCCAATTGTGCCAATCAATAATTCGCGCATTAGTTGTATTGGTGCAGTCATGGCCTTCGACAGCCGTCAGCAAATCGTCAATTGCTTTTGCGTCAATAGTAAGATATAAAGTTGACAGGCCTTTTCTCCTCTCGATGAAAAGACCCTTACCTCACGTTGAAGCAGCATTTATAGGGCGTTTATTTCAACCAGTTCTTATTCGAGACGATTGTTTTCGCAATACAATTTTCTACGTATGGGAGGATCTTGGGAAGATATTCGAGGTCCTAATTCTTTTCGCGGGCTTGTCTTCTACTTGGAGAACAGTGTCTCCACTGGCAAGATCGAACTTTGTCCCCGACGATCCCTAGCCAGCGGCCCTAAAGATGCTCTACCCTTGCAATGTTGTAAAATAACTACGTGCCTTCCTCCTCAGTGCGCAAAACGGAAGTCCAGTCTTTGCTGCCCCTCGTCCGTGGTGTTGATAGAGTAGTCCTCCTGTTGCTCCTTGCTCATGGCGTTCCACCGCCTGTCGCGAACCTTGTTACGCCAGATATAGAAGGCCTTGACAAAATAAAACAGAACAATGTTGAAACAGCAGATTCCGAGCAAAATTTTGTTTCCACGGCGATACAGAGGCTGGTCGTCGTCACGGTAGATGTTTGAAGCCGCGATGTTACCCGCCTGAACGAACATGTTGTACAGCGCGGCACTAACAGCTCTTGTTCGCACGGCATTGCTGTTCTTGGCATTCCATCCGACCAAGATCGCGTGACAGTAAGGGTAACTCAGCAGGCCCGTCAACAGTGCATATCTGATCCAAGTGCTGGTATCGGCAGGGAGTGCAACGAGAGCAACCAGCCAGGGGAAGATCCAGATGTTTGAGATGGAGGAAACGATGGCGCGCTCCTTGAACTTTCCGGAAACCCAAGAGATAATCAAGAGGTTGACGGCAAACAGGAACTGTGATGGGATGGCGAGAAGATTGGCCTGGAACGTCGAGAAGCCCAGTCGGCGCAGGATGTAGGACAAGTATGTGCTCGGCGGGGACGGCGGGATATAGGTGGTAAGGCCGATCAGGTACAAAGGCCACTGCTCCCAGTCCTTGATCGCCTTGAACAGAAGAGACGGTCCAACAGCCTCGCTGCTCAGTGAGTTAGTTGATGTCCACAGTGAAAGTCGTAGAGTACGAGTATTCATACCGGTTGTGCATGTCACCTTTGCTTGGGTCGTCCCGCAGCAAACGGTTGACCATAATCAGCTCTTCGTGTTCGGTGAACCATCCATCTTTCCCACGGAACCAGTTCCTGGTCTGTGTAGGACCGGGCGGCATGAGACCCCACGAGAAGAGACCAATGATGAGTGTTACGATACCCTCGATAAGGAAGCTAGCCAAAGTCAGTTTTGAACAAAGAGCCCCGGTTGCGACAAAAACTTACAGCCATCTCCAACCGGCCCATCCTGCGACACCTCGCATCTGAAGTACACCAGCAGCGACGAGTGAGCCAACGATGTTGACAGTGCTGAGGGCTGTCCAGAACCATGCGAGTCTCAGAGGCAACTCATTAGACTTGTAGAAGTATGTAAGCCATAGAACAATATCACTGCTTTGAGTTAGTACCTTGCGCTCTCAAAGCAAAGGTGGAAGGGGTAGAGATTACGGGATGAATCCACCCATGAGAAGACCTAGCAGAGCCTTCACAGCGTAGAAGCCGGCACGGTTTGACAAGAAAGCCTGGCATCCTGCCGTAATTGACCAGCCAACCATGATCGAAGGGATCCAAACATCGGCGCCAAGCTTCTTGCTGACCAAACCACTTGGCAACTCGGCAGCGAGGAATGATAGAAGGAAAATCTGGACCATGCATAAGCCTATGAGCCTCACAAGATATCTTGTCGCATGCGGATACTAACAGTTTGTCCATAGTTGAAATCGTTCGTGGTCATGCCGAGCTCGGGAAGCTGGTGTGCGAGTTAGCGTCTTCAATACTGCCGTAGTTTACGCCTTTCACTTCTTACCATGTTGTCAGAGATTGCACGATTGATGTTTCGCCGGTGCAAATCGAGAGCACAGAACATGACCTTTCAATGCCGTTAGCTTAATTCCATTATCAATATGCTCAAAGGATGTGATTCATACCCAAGCCCACACCATAATTTTCCTATCAATCTACGCCGAGTCGAATTAGCATTCACTTGAGTCCGTGTTGACTAACTCCGATGCGCAGGTGGACAAAAGTATACCTTCCTGACCAACTTCCTCTCATCCTCGGCCGACCATGTGTAGTTGGGATCGAAACGGTGACGGTTCTCGTACGAAGCCTTTTCGTAGACCTTCCGCCAGTGGTCGGCGATGCTGGGATCTGAGAAGACATGTTCGTCGGTGGACCCGTACTGCTGGGCGACCTGCTCTTTCAAAGACGAAGCTGAAGTGTCGGTGGCAGCTTGGGTCTGGATGGTGTTGACCTCTTTAGTCGAATCCCTGAAGGGACCTTCAACTGCTTTCGAGGCCATGGCTGGACGTGACTGGCAAACAATTGACAAACCAATTGTCGTGTTGAATCCAGAGTCCTGTTGAAGTTTTTTGAGCTCTAGCCACACAGAGGTACCGGGAGCATGGTCCGGTCCGCGGAGATGCAAAGACCTTTATACATTCCATCCTTGGACCCGACAATCTGGTAGTGGTATTCAAACCAGATCCATCTCAAACCTCCTTCCCGATATTAGATGACAGGGGCTCTCCAGAGACAGAAAAGCCTGTACAGTGTCGCGATGATCCAAGGCAATCACCTCATGGGCGATTTTCTCCCTTGAGCGAATAGAACTTCTTATCTATGGTGCAATTGCTTGACTGAATTGCGCCGCACGTCAATGGTCCAACGAGTTGTGCTGGGCAGCGTGGGGGGTGTGATCCGGGGTGGCTCCGGCCATGTTCAATGTCGTCGACGATAGCTAGGCGGCGGCCCTTACCTGGGGGCATGGAGCGCGCTACAAACAGCCAATTCAAGCTTACTTTACAGAGGCTTCAGCTAAGCGGAAGGAATCCCGTCTGGACTGCCGGGAGTGATTGGGGGAGTGGATGTGTGAGGGTCTAGATGCCGACTGAGGAGAGCTGCTCAAGGCCGCAAAGATGACGAGTCAATCACCATATGTGGATAGTGCGGCCGACAACGAGGATAATCCATGCCCGTCCCTATTGAGCCTTGAGTGTCTCAAGCGGCATGAGCATCCACACGTTTGTTGACGAAAAAGGCTTGGAGAATTTATTGCGTGATGGGGGCCATGGGATTGCGACAGACTCTTGGGCCGAAGTGTGAGAGATTGGCCAATCAGATAACAGCAAAAGAAACAACCCGCGTCAACTGCCAACCCCTCCGGCGGTCCCTTCAAATCGGCTGTGCAACTTGACGCCAAGAATTTATTACAACCCAATGCCTCAATCGTTCATTACTACGAGTAGATACTTAATTAAAGGCCGTAAGGTCTTTGTCTTACCCAGAGGTCTGGGTCCGACGGTGTGATTCCAGCTCTCAGCGGTGGCTTGTCAAGGGCAGAAAATGCCCCCGAGTTCAAAATAGCTCGGAAAATATACTTCAGCTCTGTCGAGCTAACCATTCATTTGGGATACTGGAACTATCTCATCATCCGCTAGTAATATTTGACGTTGATAAGGGTTAAGGAAAGGTCTCAGACGTTGGTACCAGCAAAAAGGAACTCGGTATCTTCCCGGGACCAGGATTGGAGTGAACAAGAAGGTTTCTCCTCTCACAACTGAGGCAATTGGCTGATAAGCTTCAGAGAAGTAACAATGCATGTTCCGCATTTATCATTTCCCGGCTGACTCTAGCGATGGGCAACGAAGACATTTTTTGAGTTCACACATGGTGTCAATCACTAAGTACATTTTGACTTGCGTTGGATCCAATCCACAAGTACGTAAAAATCAATCATCAGTTTGGCATTTCCTTCGTAACTACCTGGCTCATACGGCTGGTCTTGCAGACTATTGCTCAGAAGCTTGCTCGTCTCTACCGACGGCATGGGTCTTTGATGTACACAACACAGAACTCCTCACCCCTGCAGCGCTCTAACCCTTGAAGGGCGTCTCATATGGCCGCTCAGCCTGTGGTGTGATTCTAGCCAAGTGCCTTCTTGAACCGTTGTTCCAGTCAATGAGAGCTGAATGCTGGGTGACGCGGTTATCCCAAACAACTACAGTGCCCTCCTCCCACTTCACGCGGGCATGGAAGTCAGCGCCCCAAGCAATGTGTTCGTAGAGGAACTTGAGCAGAGCATCGGACTCTTCCTTCTTGAGGCCAACGATCTCGCGCGTGACTAAGATGATGATCAGTATTCAAGTGGAGATGGTGTGGGATGTTCAAACTCACATTGAGGGTTGATGAACAAAGCCTTCTCGCCGGTGACAGGGTGTGTGCGGACGATAGGGTGAGTGTTTGCAACAGGCTCGCGACGCTTGATGCTACCCTTCTTGACAGAAGCAGCAACCTGCTCAATACCAGAGTGGACAGCCTGAAGGCCGTGAAGTCTCTCCTGGAAGAGCGGGCTCAGTCTGTTATAAGCCTCAGCGGCATTGCAGAACAGAGTATCACCTCCTGTCTCAGGCTTGTCGAGGATGTAGAGGAAAGTTGTGCCAGGGGGCTGCTGCTCGTATGAGACATCGGAGTGCCACGCGATAGAGCTGGTTCTGGTGGCGAAGAACTTCTCTGCTGACCTGTCACCTGCGGCACGGTGGACAAGATGGACTTCGGGGAAGTTCTCAGGGGATCCTGAGGTCGGGTGAATGTGGTGACGACCAAAGTAACCGCCGAACTCGAGGGCCTTGTCGATAGGAAGATCGGCGAAGTCCTGTGCGCGGAAAGCGACGACCTTACGCTCGGCGACGAAGCGAGCGAGTTGATCACGGCCAGCGTTGCTGAGTGTGCTAAGTTGAACGCCTCTGACTTCTGTGCCGATTGAGGGTGTGAGGTCGGTTACTTGTGCGTCCTTGGGAAGAAGATCGGGGTAGCTAGGGTCTGCGTCTCTGCCGTGCTCGACATGCTGGAAAGGCTGCAGGGGAGGGTATTGTTG